AGGCACATGTATATTTAAATTTTAAAATTCTGTATTTATGAGACACAAGCAGTAAGTGCAAGCTATATGCTACAGGACTTCAATATAAATTGATAGATACCGAAAAATAAACCAAACAAAATCGACTGAAATAGCGTTTTATAACAAGTAAATCAAAAATCTTAACACATCTTAATCATGAAAAAGTTTTCTCCCAGAGTTTTAATTACCCATTTGAAAATGATTTGACCATTGAGAGTTCGTAGACACTAGACACGATCATGACGATGTCGTATAGGTGTGCTCAAAGCGTGAAAGTGAATAGGTTTGAGTCACGTGTTCTGTGCTTTGTTATTCATAAGGTCAAAGACGGGTTGAAATTTGTAAACAAGGTGCCTTTACTATAGAGACAAGTACTCGTGATTTTGCACCTTTTAGGAAAATAACAAATGAGCGCAAGACTGTTTCAATTTCTTTCATGAATGTAAATGACTAGTATAACTCTTTACATTGACCGTATTTACGACAACTTGAAACATCCATGCGCTCATATAAAAAATGGGCTTACAAAATGGGGGTGTGGCCTAAAGTCTATGAGAAATCGATATAAACAACGTACCCCTGCTATATTAACCAGATAAATACCTAATTATAGTGCAAGGAAGTAAAAACTGAAATTGAAATTAATAAACTACAATGTTTGATGGAAACATTGAGGCAAAAATATGTAGAAAATCTTTAATTTAATTTTTTGTAAATTATCGGGGGGCCAGATTTGGACGTTTAAACGGTTCATCCTTTTCACTGTATAACAGTCTTTGCCCTGAATTTAATATTCTCGGTAGAGTGCTTTATGCATATTCCACTTTTAAACACTAAAACATTGCCTATATTCTTACAAAAATGAATGATTTGGAAATACGTATCAATTAATTCTTTTTCTGGCATCAAATTTGATCTCTGCGTCAATTGAATTAAACATTTTTTTTCCTAAATGACATCACAAGGATAAAATGGACATATTAATGGTCCAAAAGGTATCGATATCAATTTTATAGGATAGTTTCGTTGGCCTATTTGTTTGTTTATATAACGCGTCCCTTTCGAAAAAAAAAATTACTCATATTGAGACGCCATCATTTGCTGGAGCAGGGGTGCAAATTTGGACCTATTCGAAGCACTCAAGGCCATTGAGCACTCAAGGCCATTGAGCAGTGAGGGATCTTTTTGGTGCCAGCATATCTTCAACACTGGACTTCGGTTCATGCGGTCTCATCCTAAAGACCGGTCTCCATGTCCTGCAGTTGGATTGGACCCGCTACGTAAGGCCACGCGGGTGACTTTAGAATAGGTTACCTAGTATATTTAATTTACTGCGCCTGCAATCACATCAAAGTTCCGACTCTCATAATGCTTATTTTCTCCGATTTCTGGCGTTGCGCAGTGGTGGATAGAGAGTTTTAGAGTGTTTGCTTTAGAGTCGAGGGGTAAGAAGCTGATCCTTACCTCGTAGGTTCGAATCCGGCAGAGGGACGTTGAGACTGGTCCTTTGGATGAGACCGTATTAACCGAGGTCCTTTGTAGGAGTAGGTGCTGGGACGAAAAAGATCCCTAACTGCTCAATGGCCTTGCGTAAATATATACATTTTATGGTTAAAGAAAACATGGAGCAAAGATCCGATAAACCCGAAAAACACTTTTATGAAAAAAAAACGTTGGTATCTCTCCGAAAAATACTTCAAGTCCATTTAGTCAATGTTCATATCACAAACATGATTTAAATGTCATTATTCATCCAGAGTTGTAAAGCGTGTTAACGTTAGTCTAAAAAGATATTAATACTCAGGATTTTTATTGCCAGGGTTTGAACCCCAGGAATACGATTTTATCTTTTTTATTGCTGGTTATAGAATAGTTTTTTTTTTTTTTAAACAAAAACGTTTTGTTTGACATAATTTCATAAATTTCAATTATGAGAACTTTACTCTTAATATTTAATTCACAAATTTGATATGATTTTTAAGTATCTAATGCCACAGCATTCTGCACGCCTTATTCGCCCATCTCCTTTATATAGAAAACCTTCATAAAGAGCAATTTCCTTTAATTCATGTAAAGTATTTAAATTAAAGGTTCATGTGTTTGACTTATTCGTAAAAATTAAGATTACTCTTATTGATATACTTTAATACAAATTTATATAATGTATCAATTCAAAGCAAATTTTGCGCTCTTATTTGTGTTAATTGCAACCAAAATCTTTAAATTTTTCTCCGAAAAAATTTTTTTAAAAAAAATCCAGAAAAAAAGGGAAGACAATCGAATAGAGAATTGGCAAATTGTAAATCGCAAAATGAGTATATTTCGATGATAATCTGAAAACATTCAGTAACAAAAGTACTAAGATGCACTAAAAGTACATGTACTAAAATAAATGCTAAGCCGATCATACATCTGTAACCCAGGTGTTCCATTGGCATGAACGTTTGAAGGACGGACTGCTGTTCATACATGAGTAAGGATAAATAATATATCTAAATTCTCTCTCTTAAAATAAAATACCGGATATAAAGCAAGAATGATATCTCAATGTAATGTTTGTTTCAGAAAAGTCACGTGACTTGTTTTTCACTATACAAACGGGGACCCGTGTGTAACCCCCAAATACAATCTTCGGTAATTGTGAAAAGTTCACACTCACACACATGTTTTAATCCTAACTAACCGGGGACATTTTTTCAACATGTTGAAAAACGGATCTTTTCGGCTTTTGGGGGTAATTAGACATCCCTGATTTCGAATTTGGCGCTATTTTTAATCAAAGACAACCGGGGACGTCCCCGGTTGGGAGGTTGTCCCCGGTTGGAAGGTGTGTAAACAAACGATTGTCCCCGTTTGACACCTTTCACGCACGCACACACACACCCACCTACACACACACACACACACACACACACACACACACATATATATATATATAAAACTGTCTTAGAGTGTTAAGTACTATCTAAATAATATTATTAATTATGACATGTGCATTAAATTTCCACATGCATATTTTTTTTTAAATAAGTGATATTCTGTTCCTAAGCTATGGGGGTCTAAACTCCTTTTTTATGCCCTGGATCGAAAGATCCCGGCGTATAATTTTTTTGTCCTGTCTGTCTGTTTGTATGTCTGTCTGTTGTCAACTTTAACCTAGTCCATAACTATTGCGCTGTCAAGGGTAAGGCTTTAATATTTGACATGAGTGTTCATTATGACAAGACTTTTCCATTGGTACAGAAATTTTTGATCATGTGACCTCAACTGTGACCTTTGACCTACATTTGAAAAACTTTAATATTGGCCATAACTTTTGCACTGTAGTCTACGTCCCACTCCAGAATTGTGTTACCATCGGGGGCATAGTGTTTCACAAACACATCTTGGTTTTTTTTGCTTTCAGATTTTGCAACTTGCAGACACAATAACCTTAGTTTTTAATAAAGATTTAAAAATAAAATTGCCAAGTGTTTTTCATGAATTAATGAGCATAAGGTTTGAGACCATTTCATTTAATAGGCCAAGTTTCACACCCTGTCACGTATATTGGGTTTTAGCCATACTTGTGAAGTATAAATGGATATTTAAATTTGATGTATATGAAGTGTTTATGTAGTTGAATAGGTGCATGGAGGTGTGACTTGTCTGAATAGATAGTTCCTTTCAGGCGTGCTGCACAACGTGGTTGCTTACAGGTAAATAAGGACGGACAACGTCAGCACGGTAGGATTTTGACAAGGTGCAAATTGCAATATTTCAGGTATTTTTGTAAGTACATATTTCTCTTTTAAATTTTTTTTATACATTCTTGATATTCCCTGGAGGAAACAACAAATACTATAGTGATTGATACTTAAATTAGTCAATTCTGTAACAATTCTGAAGTATATGTCTTTTTATGAATGTTTGAATATTTTTTAAATGCCTTATTTATTCTTAAAAACTATACACAACAGGGTGTTGTACATAAAACGATCCATCTTTATCATATAAAGATATGCTCTGGGTCCAGGGATTTGTTCAAGGGGGCGGAGCTAATCAAACTCTGACAGTTACTTAACACAAAATAGAATTAAGATTTATCTGGTTGACAAGCCTTATGCTAAATGAAAGAAGTATTAATAAGCACTAAATCCTTGTTCAAAGTTGTGGAATTCATGTCCTCTGGGTCAAGGATGAGGGTGCTTACATTAAACAAAGACATCATTCTTCAGCAATATATTCTCTTCTCGCAGTACCGGTAAAGTGCATTCATAATTTTTACGAGCAAATTATCAAAAATTCACTCCTATTTAATAATAGTTTTAGGTACCTGGGTGGGAGCAAGACGTTCTAGTATTGAATGTATTGTGCATTTTACTAAGTATTGTGAGAAGAGATTGCTTTGTTGTATTCATGTGACAACTAAGGACTATGATACTTGTGTCTATCCATGGTGATGTGTTCAAGTGACCATTTAGGTCCTCACTTTCTTGTGTATATCAATGCTAACGTGGCCTTGGCCTTTTGTGTCTATGATTGCAGATATGTTCAGATGACCATTTAAGTTATTGGCCTCTTGTGTCTATTTACGGTGATATGACCGGATGACTGTGGGTCATTAGTTCCTCGAGTCTATCAATGGTGATATATTCATGTGATGGTTTAGGTCCATGGCTTCATTTATCTTTCACATTTGGTGATGTGGTGATGTTTTCAGGTGACTATTTCGGTCATTTGTTTCATGTTTTTCAATGGAGTTGTTTTCAGGGACCCATTTAGGTCCTTGGCTTATTGTTTCTATCAATGGTGGTTTGTGTTCAGGTGACGGTTAGAGTCCATGGCCACACTTTCTATAATTTTGTATATTGGTATGTTTTTGTCATGCATATTCTCATTTTCAAACTAGTTAATTAAATTCGCCACTTTAGAGTACCTTCAGTGAGTAATATTAAAATTCTATTTTGCACCTTTTAATAGTGAAATTTGTAAAGACGATGGTTGACACACTACGTGGACAAGAACTTATTGTTTGTTCCCAATGTGAAGAAAGCGTGGAATATTTTTGTGCCTCTTGTGAACTTGACCTTTGTCATAAATGCAAACAGGAACATAACGAAGCAGAAGCCACTCTGAGTCACGACGTCAGAGTATACAGAGAAAAGTACGGAGAGAGCTTGATAGAGGAAAAGTGTATGCTACATCCACAGTCTGATGAGCATTACAGACAATATTGCCATGAGTGTGGTGTTCCTGTGTGTAAATTATGTGCACAAAGTCCAAGTCACCGTAGTCATACTCTAACTGATATAAAGAGTTTGTATCGCGAGTACCGCGAAAAATACAGAGAATGGTATAAAAGAATTCGCCTGGAAGTCCTTCCCCAAGTAAAAATCGAACAAGATAATATCGAAAAGGATCTGGAAAGGAGGAATAAACAGTACACTGAAATATTGAATCGATTAGAAGAACAGGCTCGACACTTGAAAACTCTCGTTGATGAGGTAGTAGAGGAACACAAAAGTTTTATCAGGGATCTTCAGAATTCTCAGTTAACCACCCTCCAAAGTAATGGCCAGGAGCTACTCTCGTATGTAAAAAACTTGAAGAATATACTTGACGGTTTTGAAAAATCAGCTAATATGCCTGCAAAATTTTTCTTTTATGTAAAAGAAAACCCCATTGACGAGCCAAAAAGTCTGAATGTAAGTAAATTACCAACACCCTCTTACACGGAGGCCAAGTTGAACAAAAATGACATTCAAAAATTAATCGGACACATTGGAAAAGAAATGCACAAACAAATTTCACGGACCCCGTCGCGGACCCCATCAATGGAGGCAGAGGCTGTGAACACCGTAACGGAGATGAAGTTAAACATTCCAGATATAACTCATGTTCGTCATATTTCCTGTGTAACGTCAGATCGCTTGTGGATCAGTGGAACCACAAATCTTGTTCTAACAGACATTGAGACTAAAAAGACAAAATTCAAATTAGCAGTCACTACAGATGGGTATGGTTGTCACTCTGTTAACAGTGAAGGAGATCTGATTTACATAGACAATGCCTCGACCATCAACAAACTGTCAGAAGGAAGCGAGACAGAACTTCTCATAAGAACTACAGAGCCATGGAAACCTATCAGCATTCACTGCGCACACTCCTCAGATACTATGTTGGTGGGGATGATCATTCCATTGGAAACAGCTAAAGTGGTCCGCTACGATAGCACTGGTCAGGTAATTCAGACCCTGCAAGACGACCACAGAGGTAAACCACTGTACGAAGCCCCGGCATACATTACAGAAAATAACGGAGACGTAATTGTATCAGACTACAAGAGAAGGGTGGTCATAGTGACCGACAGGACAGGGAAACATCGCTTCTCCTACAGAGGTCCACCATTAGGGTCAATAGCAGAATTATGGCCTCGTGGTGTCTGCACTGATAGTCAGGAAAACATACTGGTATCTGACTTCTATACACAGATGGTGCACATTGTTAACAATGATGGTCACTTCTTGCGATACATGCATATCGACCAAGGATTACGCAAACCATTCGGTTTATGTTTTGACAGTGAGAAGAATATGGTTGCCGTGGGCTCATATGAAAATAATACAGTTCACTTGTATCATTATTTAGAGTGACATGGAAACATAGATTGCATTGCATCCACATTGATATATATGATTGTGATAAACTAAGGAATTTCTGTACGTAGTTACACAGTACCTTGATGATCTTTTTAAAAATAAGGAAAAGGTAATTGGTTTGAATTTGGAATAAAATGAAAATTTATAAACATTTATTAATTTATAATGTAAACTATGAATATAATCAGATATCGTTTTATGCTATTTTAATTATGATGAGATTCAAATGTATATATAATTTTTGAATTATTCCATGTAAGACTCATTATATTAAATGTATTTTAGAGGAACTTGGATTTAATTCTACAAGTGATAATCCAACTTATACTCATAGTTCCCTTTCTAAGGAGGAAATTCTTCAAAGTCATGTGTCAGTTTTGAAAATTTTTAATATTCCAAACAACCAAAATGAATTTGAATTACCATATCTATATTGGATTCCGAAACTTCATAAAAATTTATACAAAGATACATAGCGGGTTCCAGCAAATGCTCAACCACACCTCTTTCTTTACTCCTCACTAAGATATTAACAGTAGTGATGGAGAAACTTCAAGAGTACTGTGCAACAATATATTCGAGAAGTGGTGTAAATCAGATGTGGATACTAAAAATCCCAAGGAACTTTTGGAAAATTTGAAATCACAAAATTTTACCAAAATCAACAGCTTAAAAACTTATGACTTTTCAATTTTATACACAACCATTCCCCACGATAAATTAAAGTCCAGGCTTTTTGATATCATTGACAGCTGCTTTTTCAATAAAAATGGAACTCTTAAATTTAGTTACCTTGTCATTGGTCATTTGCAAAATTATTTTGTTAAAAAACATTCTGATTGTACACACAAGTACTCTGAAGTTGACATTAAAAAGATGCTTGAGTTTCTGATTGACAATATCTATGTGGTTTTTGGAGACCAGGTCTTCCAACAATGTATTGGAATTTCCATGGGTACCAATTGCGCCCCGTTATTAGCAGACCTTTCTTGTATTCATATGAAGCAGAATTTGTCCAAAATCTTATACGTGAAAAGAAGAAAACACTTGCTGTGGCCTTCAACTCGACATTTAGATATATCGACGACGTACTGTCAATTAACAATGGTTATTTCCATTCTTATGTCGAGACGATATATCTCGGTGAGCTTGAGATAAAAGATACCACAGAGTCTGACACATCTGGGGTCCGTTTAACAAAAGAACTAACGACTAAGACCAAAAACTTTAGTTGATTGTACAATTATGCAAATTTTATGATTCTGATTGAATTTGCTTGTGTAAAAATTAGGGATGTCAAATCGGTCAATGTTTTATAATCGGTTACTCGGACGTTTTTCCGATCGAGTACCCGGGTACTCGGTAAAAATGTAAATACAAGTGTGTTAATTTTCTTGAGCCCTGTTAAGCTCTGTTAAACCCAAAAGTTGTTTTTATCACGTTTATACATGTATATAAACATCGAGTTCAACGGAAATGATTTTTGGGTCCTAAATTTATTTATCAAATAAACACAAATTAAAGACACAATTAATGCATAAAAATTACAAATGGTTTACAGTTCTTGTTTAGGATCTATTTCATCAACGCTAAAGGAGCTAGGACAATCTGTTACGTAGGATTGTGATGATAAGAATAGCGAAAGAGAAGGAACAGACCTTGTTAGGATTGCTACTCTAATATCATTTCATTTCTTAGTTGTTTCCCCCTGTATACACTTAACTTACTACGCAAACTGACTTTCAACTTTAAAAAAAAAAAAAAGTCTTTAGTTATTTCTAAATATTTCTTCACTTTTAAAGTGGGTTATGCATGTCGAATTTTGCTGTCGTATATTAACTAAATAATTTAAAAATGATTTGAAGATAATAGACCATACTTAAACGATATTCACTGAAAATAATCATTGAAGCCATCCAAAAATTAAGGACCACAGTAGGTGAGAACAGCTGTGTACCAGGTGATTGGTCACTTATTACTGTATGTACACAGCCACAAGCGATAACGGGTGTTTTACAGGTGTTGATGACGACACGCTAATTACTGCGTGCATATTTAAGTTAATTTTTGAAAAGTTTTTGATAAAAATATGTACTTTGAAATAAGAAAAAATACACATCCGAGTAACCGAGTACCATTTTTAGTATTCGATACTCGGACGTTCGATCGAGTACCCGGTTAACCGGGTACTCGTTGACATCCCTAGTAAAAATACTTTACTACATTCCTTTCAGAAGGATTAAATGTTGTGTCATAAAAGTGTATTTTAAAGGTAGAGTGGGTCTTTGCTCCATGTTTTTATTAACAAAAAAAATGTATATTTTTACGCAAACTTTGAGAATAAACTTTGAAAAATATGGAGCGAAGACCCACTCATATCGAAAATTTGTGTTATAATATGAGAAAATGATACTTTTTGCCCTCCTTAGTGTATGTATGCTATTTCACAAGCAAATAATTTCAAGCTTTGAGAGATTTTTGCAAATTGTGGAGATTTTACATAAAGTATACTTTAATGTTAGATGAAATATCAAATAAAATTTTGTTATAATTGAAATTTAATTTTCACCTTCATGTTTGTCGCACTATAGGCATTGCGCTCGCCTTGTTCGCCCATCTTCTTTGGTTTTAGCCGTAAGTTCTTTTGTAAAATGGGTCCCTGTTTCATATTTGGATATTTTACCTGAAAAAGACGTTAATGGTTATCTAACAACCAAGCTTTATGATAAACGTGATGACTTTAAGGTCAAGATCTAGTAAATGAGTTTAGACTGTCTGTTTAGACTGATCCATTATGACGTCATAATTGATTTAAACTTAATTTTTCCCGTACTTTACGGCTTTTATAGAATTACGTAGAAATGAAACATTTTCATGGAATTCAATTTGAAATCATGTCAAAATTAACCCCGATATCTATATTCAAATTCATTTTAAAGAAGAGGTCAAGAAGATATGAAAAACTGTTTTCTGAGAGACTGTAGCCAATATTGATACATTTTCTTTTTCTGAGAAGGAAGAAACTCCCATATTTATACCTGACTTCCTTCATTTTTCATTGAAAATAACAGTATCATTTTTAGTTGAGTTTTCCTAAAAATTATGCCCCCATACACCTAATTTCGCCTTGAGTTGTATTTGTAAAGGATCATTGAAAGAACTTGTTTCTCAAATTTCAGAAATCTGAAGGCACCTTTCATTTAATAGATCTTGACCTTAACTTTTCAATCGTCAACTTCCCTTACTTATGCAGCAATATACCTTCATCACCTGCATACGGGGTTTATATCTCTCAGTTGATTCGATATGCAAGAGCATGCTCTACGTATGTACAATTTCTAAAACGAGGTAAATTTTTGACAAACAAGTTGATGAAACAAGAATATCAGCAGTCTCCTTTAAAGTCATCATTTCGTAAGTTCTATGGTCGATACAATGACCTTGTCAGCAAATACAATTTATCATTGAGTCAAATGCTGACTGACGTTTTTCATACTAATTGTTAGGCCATTATTTATACACTGAATTGTCGACGGATTTTCCCGTTATTTCCCGATCATGACAAGGAGCACACGGCGGGCGTGACCGATCGGCAGGGGATGCTCACTCCTCCATGGCACCTGATCCTATCTCTGATGTTTTGGAGGTCTGTGTTTGCTCTGCTCCTGTTTTGTATTGTTTAATGGATTTTTGAGCTTGAATACTGTTCGTTATCTCCATATATTTCATCTAGGTACATGAATATGAAAGAACTGATTTTATACCTAATTACATCTATGAATCTGTATATCAATCAAAATATTGACTTTTAATATAAGTCAATCAATATAAATTAAATAATTCACCAAATAAAGTAAATCAAATCTCTAAATAAGATAAATTATTTTACTGAATTATTTAGTTAGATGTGACCATTGAGGGAGTTGGCATTTACTGTAGATTCCAGTTCCATCGACCAGGACTATTTCCATCGGCTTCGCCTTGGGAAATAGTCCTGGCCTTGGGGAACTCGAATCTTGCTGTTTCCCTCAATGATATATATTAACTGTATACGAATTGAATAAAATAAATAATCGAATAAAACTTTGGATCCACCCCTGGTACTACTTGTGCATCTGTATCAATCTACACTAGTAATATTCATCTTACTTCAATTCTTTTAGTCCAAAGTTTACCTACGAATTTCTGACCCGTAAAGGACTGTTTCAGCTAGATTGTTCATGGGTATACCATGTCAACATAAAACAAATAAATCTCTCACTGTTTTAAATCAAAGAAATTTACGTTTCGTGATTTACTAGCCAGTACTTTTATTTTAACAATACACCAATTACATATTCAAGAAAAGTCATCCATAAACTGAATGAAAGAATAAAAGAACTATGCACGTTAACTTTCGATTTCTCCCTACACTTTACACATTTGATAATTAAGCATTTTTCGATTGCAAAGTAGGGTTCATTAGCAATTATGATATTAGTGTGAGATTCCATTTTGTAATATAAGCATGCAATGTATCTAACATGGCGTGTATTTCGTTTACACTAAATTCCACGAAGATCACTATGTACATTAATATAAATCGATTTTAAGGCCAGTCAACACGTTCTCCAATAATACATGTATATAATTTTTTCCCAAGAATTTGCCATTGAAGTATTGCTACTTTACCATTGAAGATTCCTCTCAAAAAATCGAGGTATCTTACAAGGCATTTGTCCAAGAAATCGGAGGATGGTGTTTCCTATATATCGGTAATCCTATTGGAAATCACTTGAATTGTCAATATCACAATATTTGGTGTATTTATTTTTAAGACAATTTGAAAAAAAAAATTGGAAATCACAAGATAATAGGGATGTCAAAATATTTATTTTCCTTAGTCGATTATTCGACTGCATTATTCGAACGATAGTCGAATATTCGGAACACTTTCTGAAAAAAAAATTATTTCAAACTTCACTGGTACATGACGTATTATAACTCTAAAACCCTTTTAATTTAATATATTTAAAAAGTACCATCAAAATTAACGTAACGTAACGCGTGGACAGCATGATTATATGAAATAAATTTAGAAACCTAATTCTCCAAAATGTATGATTTCCCCGTCAATAGTAATCGGTCTGTACATGCAGTCAGTTTTTGTTTTAGTAAGCATTAAAAAATTGCCAGCCGATATTTTTTTAAAGCTTAATATTATGAAATTGGGAAAAGGGGGGGGGGTTATCTCACACATTTTACACGTCACGTGCCTATGAAATTGTTAAACAGTTAGATACTGCTTATTCAATTATTGATTGCTCTGGCTATCAAAATGTCATTAAACAGTTTAAAATGTAAGCGAAGTGTTTTAATAATTATCGACGTGTCAAAATATGCCATAGCTATGGTTTGTTCCTTGCATTTGAGCAATCTTAAAACAACAAAAGATAATTGGTACATGGTATAAGATCAAGTCCAATTAATATTTTACAAACAAAGCACAGTATATTAGTAGGTAATTTATTACAAAAACAACACAGGCCGTTACTGACAAATAATTCTCGCAGTAGTCAAGCACAAAGTCTTATAGTTACTGTACTTTCTTTACGTACATGGACGTTTTTTTGTTGAGAAAAATTGTCTTATTGACTGTCTCTGAGGAAAGACAGTTTCTCAATTTTGTGATAAGAATTCCATCTTGTTATTACTCTTTTATCGCATTTATTTAATTATAATAATATTCGAATGTCCTTTCATTATTCGATCGTCGGACCATTCGACTGACAGTCGAATAGTCGACTATTCGTTGACATCCCTACAAGATAATGATAATTATGAATAATTTTTTTGTATATGATGAAGAGAATCAAATACACATATTATTATTTGAGGATCGTGTACCTAAATTCTAATAATTGGGCGCGGATCCAGGAATTTTTTTTTTTGGGGGGGGGGGCACCCCAGGCAAGATCCGTGCATGAATTATAATGGCTTACTTCCATTTAAAACCCATTTCAAAGGCATTCATATACAGAAGGAATTAAGTGAATATTGGAGGTAACATATCCCCTTGTACAGCTGTTTTTAAAAGACCTGTTTTAGTCGCCCAGTAAAGTAGATTTACTGCCATACCCCAGATGTTGGAGTCCAATGTTCTCTTTCTTGGTCGAGCAGTTCCCATCCCCGTGTAACTTTAAGCCCCATCTGAACTAAACTGAATGTTACATCCCCCAGACTTGCATGTACTTTAGTTTTTGTATGCATTGTATACATTGCTGTGTATAACTAACATTTCAACTCGGGCATTAATGCATATTATATTATCAAATTATTTTTTATCCTTCCTTAAAAACATGAAAATAACAATTAAATATATGTTTAATATAAATAAAATGAGTAAAGTTTCATTTTTGTTCGCTTTCGTGAAAGCGAGGGGACAATAATAAATATCAATCGTCTGTCAGTCATAACAACTTTAACCTTGGTCATATGGTTGGAATGAGAAAAGATGGGGCTTTTCTGTTCCTCATGTACTTTACCTGTGACAAGACCTTTCCAAATATACTTTGATTTTTTACCCCGTGACCTTGACCTTGAAGTTTTACCTATTTTCAAAATTTTAACATTACTTTTTCCTTGATCATAACTTTTGAATGAGGAAGGATAAATTTTCATATTTCACTCATACATTATCTGTGACAAGACCTTTCTAAATGTACATGTATACTAAATTTTTGACCACGTGACCTTGACCTACTTTTCAAAAAAATTAAACATTGCTTATAACTTTTGAATGAGAGAAGATAGAGCATTCATGTTTGACATGTGCTTTACATGTGACGACGTTTCCAGACATGATTTTTAACACTGTGACCCTGAAGTTTGACATAATTTTCAAAAAATTTAACATTACTCATAATATTTGAATGAGAGAAGACAGGGCAGTTATATTTGACATGTGCTCACCTGTTTCACGTTTTTTATTTTCGTTTTTTTTTCACATTGATAATAACTTTTGAACGATAGAAGATAGGGTTTTTTATTTTACATGTACATTACCTATGTTAACACCTTTCAGAAATGTTTGTCTACATTATCTTGACTTAGAAGTTTGAAGGACACTCAAATAGGACAGTTACAATTTGCCATAAATAATTGCATCCCAATTTAACGACTAAGACATGCACCAAAAGAGGAGGACCGCAATTCTTTGAATTTGATTGTCATTCCATTTCTCGATTATAAGTCTAAAGTATTAAAAAAAATTGTATAGTTTATAAGGGTGATGGGAAAAAGGAAGTCTACAGTTTCTTAATTAGTTTAAAAAATTCAATACGTGTATATGCATCATTTTCAATTAGAGTAAGTCCTTAAATACATTATAGCAATTCATGCATCCACTCATCCAATTTTTTGCTTGTTGCTTGTAGATTGTGTTCCGTGTTCCTAAAGATTAAATTCATTGTGAAAAGCTGTGTAAATTGTTTTATTACAAATATAAGTAAAGTCAGTGCACATATTTTAAAAATATTAATGTTTCAGGTGTTTTTTCCCCAAGACCTTTCACGTGGAAACATTAAAATATGATATAGGATGATGAAATAGGATCTGACCTTTCTAGATAATAGGTTTAAGTTTTGGAGTAAATCCATTCCCATTTAACTTAATAAGCAATATTTAATGCCTGGACCAAAATTACGTGGATGATGCATGTAGGGATGCACACTACCAAACTTGCTTCAGATACTACCGTAGATCTGCATTTTCCATTTTACAGCAGGATTCTCAGGTAACTATTAGCCTTATGGGAAGAAAACTTGCATGGCTGATACATCTAGGGATGCACACTACCAGACTATAGACATTATATTTTACAAAAGAACTTATGACAAAGATCAAAATATAATTTTTGAAAAATTATCCTTTTTACAATAGTTGAAAAAAGGTATGTCTTTTCCAAAAGAATTTTACAAAATATACTTTATGCAAGAAATTTTTAACAGAATAATTTTGAAAAATGTTATAGTCGGCTAAAGTTTTGATCTTCGTCAAAAGTTCTGATGTAGAATGGGACCTAGCTTTGAATATTATTGGCTGCTTGATCTGACCTTCATTTCCCAGATGAGTTAACAGGTAAAACTTTGTGGAGCAGGTCCATTCTCAAGTAACTACTACCAGAACCAGGCGTGGATTCAGGAATATTTTCCGGGGGGGGGGGGGAGGTCCAACCCAGTCAAAGTAAAATTTCCTCTCAAAAACTTCTTGACAAGCAAAAAAAGGGGGGGGGGGTTAAAAGTTGAAATTTATTTCCCAAACGCTAAAAACACCCATTTCGTGGTGGTGATGGCGCGGTCCACGGTTTCTAAGGGGGGGGGGTTTCCACCAAAGTCATTGCGTCAGTATATGCTTTTAATAACTGCAAATTCCAGGGGGGTCCGGACCCCCCCCCCCCCCCCCCCTCTCTAGATCCGCGGATGAGGACCTTACCTGCGTGGACTGATCATTTAGGAATGAAAATACTAGTTTGCATTATGCTTTTTAACCTACATCTTCTGGAGGAATGACCAGATCGGAATTTAGTCCCAGGTTATATGACCTATGCTGACCAAAGATACATGGATATTGAATGAGGCATCGAGGGACTCAACTATCAGACTTGCTTCAAATGCTGAATCTTACGTTTTCCATATGATTGAACAAAAAAAAAATTGGAGGAAGTCTATTTCAAAGTAACTAAAAATCCCACGACTAAACTGTCATAATTTTTTTTGTTGAAGTGAGCTTTGTAATCTTTGATTTACCTATGTTTTTCTGTCTATCTGTCTTTTTATGTCCCGTCATGAATATGGCCGAGGCATATAGAGTTTGTCATGTCCATCTTTTGTCCTTCCGTCGCGCTTTACATTTAGGTCAGTTCAAAGCTCAGTGAGATATTATTATCAAACTTCATATGCTGATACATATTGATGAGAGCTATTCAACTGCATCATTTTTTTTTTTACCTTGACCGTTCCTTTGACCTTGACTTCACTTTTCTTAAATTAATGTTAGCTTTAAAGAAACCATTCAAGATATTTTATCAAACTTTATATACCGATACATACTGAAGTAAGCTATTCAACTGCATCAACATTTTTTGACCTTGACCTTTCCTTTGACCTTGACCTCACCTTTCTTAAATTAATGTTTAGCTCATTTTAAAGAAACGACCCAAGATATTTTTACTAAACTTAATATGCTGATACTTATTAGTGAGAGCTATACAACTGCATCAAAAACTTTTGACTTTGAACTTTCCTGTGACCTTGACCTCGCTTTTCTTAAATTCGCATTTTGCTTAGTTTTAAAGAAACCATTTAAGATATTTTTATGTAAGCTTGTGCACTTATACACAATTTGGTGAGAATTTATCATCTATATCCATTTTTTTTTTAGATTTCAATTTCAATTTTTTAGAAACTATTTAAGATTGAATTCTTCAAAGAAAAAAATCAAAAGTGCTGGTTCCTCCTTTAAATGTGCCTAATTTTTAAATATCACAATTGCATGGACTTCTTATTAACATTAAGCTACAGTCCCGTTGATTCTTATTTCTTACAAGTAGAATTATACAAATGAGTAATTACTCAGTTCATTAATTACCTATGGTACTTTCTCTATTATGTAAATCAAAGAACATCTGTTTCAGATTTGTTCAAACACATCAAAACATCAACAGTGTAAAATCCTCCAAATGTTTACTGCTGAATTCTCTTTTACAAAGCAGTGTAAATGGTTATAAATTTAATATCAAGGGCCACAAAATGTTACAAATTAAATCTATATTTAATATTCATTACAGTTTCTTTGTAATCAATATACATGTATAAGAAGCTTGTTTTGACTTCATACAGTGCTTTATAAATAAACTTCTATGATCTATTTTGGTCTGTTCATGTACTGAAGGTACTTCCGTCTGTCGTAATTATCTTCAATTGCTTTTTCCACTTTGATTTCTGTTTTTGGTTTCCGTCTTTGCTTTAGGGCAAGCTGCTCTTCAGGTGAAAGTTTTGTAATATCTATAGGTAGCTGTAAAATTAGTAAATACAATTAAAATTAAACATAGGTTTTGGATTTAAAGAAGAATGATTAATGCATTTTGTTTGACTACTTCAGAAGTATACAAAAAAGCTTAACTATGCTGAACTACTGTACACTACATAGGAAAAGGAAATTTTTAAAGTAATACATGTAACTATGATATATATTATTTTTAAGACATTGGACAATTGTCTCAAATGTTACTTTGTATCAAGATCAAGTGTAGTTTCATCAATTTTTCCTTCTAATATACTGTACTGTATACAGGGTTATGTTTGCCCTGTGTTATTTTCGCCCTTTGACACAATTTTGCCCTGTTTAAAATTTGCCCAGTCACAGTTCTGTTGAAGAAATTATACCGTGTTCTTTGAATTCGCCCCATTTTAAATTCGCCCACCTTTGAGCAGGGCGAAAGGGGCAAAAATAAAAACAGGCGTTAATATTTTCCTGTATACTATAAGTGTTAACAAGTGTAAATCAGTAAAATGTAAATAAGTGATTCCAGTTACCTTAATGATTTGTCTAGGCTTGTGGTACCTGATATTTATTGTAGCACCATTTGGAAGAACAAGAATGGTTGGATAAAGACGTTCATAATATCTGCGTTTTATTTTTGAACATGTTGCCTTGTTGTTGATGTGTCTAATACAAGCCTGGCAAGTAATGAGAATTTCTTTGTACCTAAAATGTAGATCAGTAAAGAATATGAATTATTAAAGTGTGTTTTCAGCAGTAATTTTGTTGTCCTACATAAAATGGTGATAAGAAAAGGAAAAAAAATTTTCATTTGTTCAGATTGTGTTCATAACTAGGGTGGTATATATCTACCTCAAAACTACACTGTATCAGCATTCCTAATCGTGAATGACCAAAAAAAAAAATGTAAATATTCCATGTACACTGCAAAAATACAATGAATACACTATCCTAAATCAGAGTTCCAGTTTGAATAATTGTGGGTGGTATATTATATTAATATAAATACTTACATATTAAAATACTTAGTAGGCAAAGCTTTTTTTTTAAAAAAAACATATTCTACTACACCAGAAAAATGAGACAATTCCAGTTTCCTTTTGAAATCAATCAATTCATAGATTGTTGTTTTACATTCCTTGCAAGATTGCATTCCTTGCAACATTAGACAATATCTTTATAGAACAGAAAGCTATAATCAGCTTGAAGTTGAATCTTAGGAGAACTTCAAATTTGTCATTATATTTATATTTTTACAAGCTTATCTTTTAAAAAGATAGGCGAGCTAGCGCTGTAGCTATCATAAACCACAGAATTAGATATCTGAATTATTGGATTAATTTGCTGAATGGATTAAGGGGACGACCATTTGTTTCTCTGGAGAGGGGGTTGGGTGGGGGGTCTGGCAAAATCTTTCGAGTCAGATTATTTATTTTCATACCAGTCAAGGACAGATTATTTATTTTCAAGATGATCAAGGGCAGATCATTTATTTTCTTCTTCACTGAAAAAGTTTGACAAAAACAAAAACAAAAACAAAAAAAAGTTCAAAGAGGGACTGGGGAGGGGGGGGGGGGTAAGTAGCAATAGTCAATGACAGATTATTTATTTTCTTGCCGGTCGTGGAAGGACAGTTATTTATTTTCAACTTTTTTGAGGACAGATTATTTATTTCCAAAATCTGCCAGCCCCCCCCCCCCCCTTTCAGAATCAAATGGTCGTCCCTAATTATTAATTGGAAGACACAGTGGTACACTGGAGGTAGTGTTGGGGGGTTGTGTCTTAATTCAGAATGGTGAATGTATCAGCTATTCAGTGTTTAATACAGAATATTCATCAGATTACTAGTATTTATAAAAAAGGCTATTGTTGGATTAAATTCGGGATACCCAAAGTCAAAAAACATTAAAATAAATAAATGAACTTCAAAGCTCTGTTTTGAGTGGGTTTTCACATTGGCAATGGCATGAATCATTAACTGTGCTTTAAGCATTCTGTAGTTTACTGTAATTTCAATTTTGAAGTGAAAAATAAGAGATAAGTAGAACCAATGAACACCTAGTTTAAAAATATTCCAGTGTGGTACTGTTTTGTAGCAATCGCATCCTTTCGGGCCTTTCCGGCAAGCTCGGAAAACATATCCGAGGTTGTTATTCCGAGCTTGCCGGAAAGATCCAGGAAGATAGTTAAAAAATAGCTAGTTTTTTAATTATAATTTTAGAAATTATAATTGATCTGTACAGTTTTGGCATTTACTGTTACCTTTTGTACATTTATTTAAGATCAGACATCAATGGTACAGTTTTAATTATCTACAGTAGTATTCCCAGAATGCCCTACCATGAAGTCGAGCATACGTATTCCAGTAAAAAAGACTAACGTAGTTGCTAGCGCTCGAGAGCGCTAGCAATAACAATCGGATCATTACTCGGGCTTTTCCGTCAAAAAAGGAAAAATGAAAAATTAAAGAATTATAATTATATCAGTGCTACTGCATTGTATCAATCGCTTCTCGTGTCTTTCCGACAAACTCTGAAAGATTTCCTGGGCTTTTTTTCTGAGCTTGCCGGAATTATCTAGAAAGGTAGTATACATGGTTAGCTTTAAGGAAAGCTAGGTTTTACCAGTTGATCTCTACAATCTTGGCATTATATGACCCAAATTTTCTTGTACTTTTAATCATAGGTTAGACAATAAATTAAGAAATTCAGAATTCGTATCATATCAAATTTTTATGATAAAACGAAATTATCATCGTACAGTCTATCTTCAGTAGTTTTCCCAGAATGCCCGACCGTGAAGTCGAGCATGCGTATTCCAGAAATATAGACTAACGTAGTTGCTAGCGCTCGAGAGCGCTAGCAATAAAATACATCAACATTTCGAATTTACTCTGAATTTTCAGTCTCCACAAGATATCATATACCTTCAAAAGACATTTTGATACTGGTAAAAGATTCTAAAATATTACAATTTATAAAATTGTAATGAAATATGCATTATTTATTATAACAATGACATAAGAAGAGTAGAAAATTTTCACATCACCTTGTCAGGAGACTTGCCATTTTCGGTAGCAACTATTAAGTTTAACTGATGAAACTCGTAAAAGTTCAGTATAATTCACAGAAGATTTTACATATACTATTTTATAGTAATGTAACATTTCATTTGAATCTATTAAATGAGTTATTGTTGCTAATCTCAAATAATCATGAATAATAGGAAAATGTGCTGGATATAAATTTTGGCAAATTTATTAGATGTACGAGTTAATAATGAGTAATATCGCTTACATCAATATTTTTTTCATCATTATGGATCATAAGAAGTAAAAGTAGTGAATTTTGCAGTAGGTGACTAGTAAACAAGAATGAATTCATATACATATATTCATATACATATATACATATGCATTCATTTAAAAGTTATGATATGTACAAAAAAGAGATAAATATTTTTGTGATGATATAAGGGTCATGTGACTGAAGTGAAGTGGTGGATCTCCAGCAAATTATTTTCACTGATTTATGAAGAAATGGTTACTAGACTAGCTCGACACTACATTCTGAGCAACTCATTGTGTTACACTGTGCTTTGTACACTTTGCATTTGTAAGTACATTGTTTGATATAAATCAGTATATGATTAACATGTTGAAAATAGAAACATCTAGATATCTAACATCAAGTTTTGTTGTTCTTCTTTTTGACTGTTTTTATTTTTGTTAAATTCAGGGCTATCTGGTGTATCAACGGAAATTGTTATTGGCCAGAATGAGACAAAAGTACATCTCATGTTCTCCAAATCAGAATTAAAAACAGTAGTGGGAGATGTCAAGGATCTGCAGTTAACTCTGAAGTATAGTAATGATTTGTGACATATATTTGCATTAACAATGCATAATTCATGAACTGTCATATGCCCTGACAAATAATCTTTTTAAAAAAGTGTCCTGCATAGATAACTAGAATGTTGTCAAACAAAGCTTTTAATAGGTACTGAACAATCCAAAGTGTTATTTTCAAGAATGCCACCTAATATTTTCAAGCATTTGATTAAATGATTGATTGTATCTTGTTTTACGTCCCATTCGAGAATTTTTCACTCATATAGAGACGTCACCATATGCTGGGGAAGGGCTTCAAATTTAGATCTTTGCTTTGCACTCGGGGCTATTGAGCAGTGAGGATTCTTTATTGTACGTGCCAACGCCTTCCGTGACACGGGGCCTCGGTTTTTAAGGTCTCATCCGAAGGACCTGCAGCTTTCACTTCATAGTGCCGAGTGCTTATCAAAGGAACAGTTGCTACCTATTTTTTATCGACTTAGGTCATTCGTGGCCAAGATCTGATCACAGAGTGAGCGCTCTACCGAATGAGCTAGCTACCATGACGGCTCAAGCATTTGAAAGAAATTTTTCAAAAAAATGATTTAATATAATGTACATTCACAGTTGTATTTTCCCCCTAATATTATCAATTAAATTTTTTACAGGTAAATGTTTCCATTCTTTTTTTGTCTCTTTTTTTTGTTTTGTTTTTTACTTTGTTGGACATGATTGAAAATTCTTTTGCTTTTTGCAGTGACACCATTGCTAGCAATGCTACGCTGGCCTTTACTTACCAGATAGGGGACACAATCAGCTCCGTGGAGAAGGACCACTACATAGAACCTATACCTGATATCTTTATTGTAGCTAATCAGACAAAGTCAATATCATTCAATATTACAAGTACTGGTGTGGGCCATTTCAACCTTGGAGTCAACTCTTCATCAAAACAGTTCACAAAGTATGGCCTACATTAATTAATTATTAATTCATATATTTATGGAACACTTTTAAACATTTTTAAATTTTTTTTTTGTATTTTCAGAAATAGATTTTGTGTTGCCTGTCACAGACACATATTACATAGGGATTACTTTGTCTGGCATTTGTTTGTCCAGGCCCATCCATCTGTTTGGGAGGATTCACTTTTACAACTCATAGCAAAGGTTAAAGTTTCTCAAATGCAAGCTAAACTCCAAGATCAAGAGTTAAAAAATAATGATACCCAAAGAAAGGTCTTATTACAAGGAAAACAGCTGAGCATTAAGAAAGCTCTAGCACAAACTGTTCAGAAACCAGGCCAAGGTTTAAGAATTTCAAAGGTAGGTCAATTGTCAAGGTCAAAGGGTCAAGATTGTTGGTTCCCAAGGGAAGGTCTTTACACAAGAAATACACATATGAAATATGAAAGCCCTAGCACCAATTGCTCAAAAGGTGTGGCCAAGAAAAAAAGTTTTGCAAAAGTAGGTCAAACTCCAAGGTCAAGGTCAGAGGGTCAAAATTGTTGGTACCCAAGGGAGGGGTTTTTTCACAAGGAATACACCTATGAAATATAAAAGCCCTAGCTTTAACCATTCAAAAGTTATGGCCAAGGGATTTTTTTTTCAAAAGTAGATCAAACTCCAAGATCAAAGTCAAAAGCTAAAAAATATTTGTACCTAAGGAAAGGACTTATCATAAGGAATATACATGTGAAATACGAAAGACCTAGCACCAACTGTTTAAAAGTTATGGCCAAGGTTAAAGTTGGGTATTAAGATTTTACAAAAGTGGGTCAATTAAACTGCAAGGGCAAGAGGTCAGATATGTTTATACCCAAAGAAAGGTCTTGTACACCTGTAAAAGTGACAGCCATAGCTGCAAACAATCAAAAGTTATCAGCAAGGTATAAGTTTTTGTGGACAAATAGACAAACAGATAAATTTTTGATTACAAGGGCATAAAAAATTGCTGTACATGAATATTTCTGAACTGATCTGAGTAAATATATTGAAGTTTAAAAACTTATTCTTGCTGTAAAGTTGATAATTGAATTTTAGTGTCCTATAATACTGTAAATTCCTTATATTACGCAAGTACTTAATATCGCGAAAGGGCTCTTAGACGCCAAATCGCGAGAACAATAATTCGCGAAAGGACAGTTTACAATGAGATTTAACATTAATTTCAACATCATAAAAATAAAAGCGAGTAATTTTATTTCGCGAGTGGTGCTCCTCGCGTAATTACGCATTAATTAATTCTTCGCGTATATTTAGGAATCTACAGTATTCAGGAATTCCTCAGAATTGTAAAATTGTACAAAGAAGTTGTATATTTCTTGGCTACATGAATGTCCAGTAGTGAATTGTCAGTCGTAGACTTATACACCACTTAATTAAACCAGTAATGAAGAAGGTAAACATTGTCAGCACAGAATTAGTCTGTATGCACATTATTAGAATTTCAATTGAGCAAGAAAACTTTTTATCTACGTATTACTAAAATTCTTGAAAAGTTTTCATAAAACATTGTTCTGTTGAATTCTAGAGAAAAGTTAAAAGATCATGATTTTCATTTCTTTTCCTTTTGATTTTATCTATGAACTGGAATATATAATTTCCAATACATGTATTACCATGGACTATATACAGAATAACAGGTGACAGATATGACTCCTTAAACACTAAAGAGACACTAAACATTGAACACTAGATATGTTCCTTTGACACTCAACAGAGAAGTGCCAGGGACAGAGCAATTTTGTTTGGTTATAAACGTTAACTTACATCTGTTAAGTTCTTAATGATTTTTAAGACTACAGGGAATGAAAGTAACTTCGCTGTAAATGTAAATTCATGATAAGCGTGTTTGCTATCATTTGTTTTGCTGTAGTTAGGAAAAACTTGGTATTTTTGGGCCAAAAATTGAATGATCGAATAAGTTGAAGTTTTTTTTTTCATCTGATGCAATATGAAGAGTCTGATATACATTTTTACATTATTAATTCTAACTTTATTAGCGGTATATGAATGTCTTAAATAATTTTTTGTAGATTATCTGAGCAGTTTGTGAGGATTACCATTGTCCATAGCTCGGCTCTGGTTGTGATTAATTCTGTAATTGGTTGGATCTACTTTGTGGCTTGGTCTGTTTCTTTTTATCCCCAGGTGTATGAAAACTGGAGAAGAAAAAGGTTTGTCTAACAATCAAGTAATATTATTGAGAAGGCTAAAAATAGATTTTTTTAGACTCTCTAAATCGTTCATTATGTTAATGTTGTCTGTACATATTTAACAAAACTACAAAAATTTAAGTTTTACAATTAAAAATAATATTCCTTAATAATTTTTGAAAATATTTTATCAATTTCATTTAAAGCCAAGAGTTTGGATTTTGGTTTTTGAAAATTTGACCTTTACTTATTTGCAACATGTCACAACTTGTAAGATAAGGTTTATGATTCATATTTTTAGTGACTATAGATTCCAGTAAAGTTACAATGTAAATTAACTTTTTTGTTTTCACAGTGTGGTTGGTCTGAATTTTGATTTCCTTTTGTACAACATCACAGGATTCCTGGCGTATGGCTTCTTCAATGTGGGAATGTACTGGGTTAATGATGTCAAGGTCTGATCATTTTAACAAACTATCATTTTTGTCCAAGTTGAATTAATAAAGGAGCAAAGTTTTGAAAAAATGTACTTAAATTTTTAATACTTCATATGAATATGACTTGGGCATATAGTGTTTGTCTATCCATCACACTTTGCATTTAGCTCAGATTCCAAGAAACTGTTGAAGGTACCCTGTATTTTTTATCAAATTTATGATACATATTGATGAGAGTTATTCAACTGTGTCATTATTTCTGACCTTGATATCTTCACTATGACCTTGACTTCACTATTCCTCAGTTTGTATTTACCTCAGTTTCACTATAACTGCTCAAGATTTATTTTGTCAAACTTTACACTAATACACATTAGTGAGAGAAATTCAACTGGTTAATATTTTTCTGACCTCACCTTCCCTGTGACCTTTAACTTCATTTTTTAATTAATGTTAAGATATTTTTAACTCCAAACAAGGATGCATATTGATTTAATAAATTAGTAAGTCATTTTTTGAATTGACCTTCCAAATGACCTTGATCTTCTCTACATGTATGTTCTTGAATTTCATTTTCAAGAATTTTTTATCAAACTTCATACAAAGATACCTTTTAGTTAGAGCAATTCAAGTGTGTCACGATTTTCTGACCTTCACCTCTTTAATCTTTTTTTTTTTTTTGCATTTACCAGGTACCCAGATTTCAAAAAAAAAAAAAAAAAAAAAAAAAAAAAAATCTTCAAGATATTTTTATCAAACTTTAAACAAATTGGTAAAAACAATTCAACTGTCATAATTTTTTGACCTGACTTTCCCTATAACCTTGAACTTAAGTTTTTCCTCATTTTGCTGTTACCGTATCTGACTGTACTGTGGAATCATCATTGTTCGTGGTGGATCAATGTTCTTGGATTTCGTTGGTCAACCTTACCCATGAATTTACATCCCCACGAACAATTTTTTTTGTCAACTTACTGATTAATCAAATCTACCAAATAAATGAGCTGCCTATGAAATTACATCCCCACGAACCAATAAAATTTTGCTTGCCCATGAACATTGACCCCCACGAATTTAAATGATTCCACAGTATTTGATAAAGATTATCATTTTATTAGGTCACCTGAGTCACTCAGGTGACCTATTGCTATCCGTTTTTGTCCGTCGTCGTGCGTCGTGTGATGTGCGTTAACATTTGAACATTTTTAGATTCTTCTCTGAAACCGCTCAACCAATTTCAACCAAATTTGGCATATAGCATCTATGGGTGAAGGGGAACAAAAATTGTGAATTTCATGATCCCTGCCCCCCTGGGGCCTGAGGGGTGGGGCTAAAACCACCAAAATTAATGCAATATTTAAAAATCTTCTTCTTTACTCCTGGACATCAAGCAGTCAAACTGTTGGCATGATTGTAATAAGCATTGAGCCCTCTACCAAAATTGTGAAATTCATGGCCCCAGGGTGCTAGGGAGGGGTTATATAGATTATATAGTGAAAGTGCATTATTTCTTTGAAAATCTTCTTCTCTGCTCCTGGGTATTAAATAAACTAACTAAGTATATAGTTATGATGAGTAAGAGTGCCTCTTCCAAAATTGTGAAATTCATGGCCCCAGGGTCAGGGGTTCTGGTGTTAGGGCGGGGCTCTATTGATTATATAGTGAAAATGCATTAGTTCTTTGAAAGTCTTCTTCTCTGCTCCTGGGTATTAAATACAGTAACTAAGTACATAGTTATGATGAGCAAGAGTGCCTCTTTCAAAATTGTGAATTTCATGGCCCCAGGGGCAGGGGTTCTGGTGTAAGGGCAGGGCTCTATTGATTATATAGTGAAAATGCATTACTTCTTTGAAAATCTTCTTCTCTGCTCCTGGATATTAACTACAGTCACTAAGTACATAGTTATGATAAGCAAAAGTGCCTCTTCCAAAATTGTGAATTTCATGGCCCCAGGGTCAGGGGTTCTGGTGTTAGGGAGGGGCTCTATTGATTATATAGTGAAAATGCATTAATTCATTGAAAGTCTTCTTCTCTGCTCCTGGGTATTAAATAAAGTAACTAAGTACATAGTTAGGATGAGCAAGAGTGCCTCTTTTAAATTATGAATTTCATGGCCCCAGGGGCAGGGGTTCTGGTGTTAGGGTGGGGCTCTATTGATTATATAGTGAAAATGCCTTAATTCTTTGAAAATCTACTTCTCTGCTCCTGGGTATTATTGAAACAAATTAAATACATAGTTTTGATAAGCAAGGATGCCTCTTCCAAAATTGTAAAATTCGTGGCTCCTGGATCAGGGGTTCTGGTGTTAGAGCGGGGCTCTATTGATTTAATGTGAAAATGTTTTAATTCTTTAAAAATCTTTTTCTCTGCCCCTGGTATTATTCAAACAAACTAAGTACATTGTTATGATAAGCAATGATGCCTCTTCCAAAATTGTGAAATTCATGGCCCCGGGGACAGAAGTTCTGGTGCTAGGGCGGGGCTATATAGATCCTTTAGTGAAGGTGAATTATTTCTTTGAAAATCTTCTTCTCTGCCCCTGGGTATTGTTTAAACAAACTAAGTACATTGTTATGATAGGCAAGGATGCCTCTTCCAAAATTGTGAATTTTATGACCCCAGATTTAAGGGTTCTGGTGGGGGGGGGGGGGGGGGGCTTCTATTGATTATAAAGTGAAAAAGCAAAATTTATTTGAAAATATTCCTTTCTGCTTTTGGTTAAAAAAGCAATGAAGCTAAGTGTATAGTTATGATGAGCAAGAGTGCTTCTTCCAGAGTAGTGAATTTCATGACCCCTGGGTCAGATGTGCTGGTGTGAGGGTGGGGCTCTTGATAATATAGTAAAAATGCATTAATTCTATTAAATAATCCTGTTTGCTGCTTGGTGTTAAGCAGATAAAGAAAGTGATTAGTTATGATGAGCAAACTTATGGTCCCAGGGTCAGAAGCTCTGGTGTTGGGGGGGGGGGGGGGGCTCTATTGATAATGTAGTGAATCTGTAGTAAAAATGCATTATTTCTTTAAAAATCTTCTCCGCACCTGGGCATATCAGAGGCAAAAAGAGTAAAAGTTTTAATAAGGAAGATTATTTTTACCAGATTTTTGAACATCTGGACCATTTGGTCAAGTGTTCTGGTCCTGGCCAGGGCTCTATTATTTTGTATTCTACTGAGAGGAGTTATTCCCCTTTGCCATTTACTTTTGATAATTTATCACTGTAAATAATGTACTTGAAAGGTAAATAGAATAAGATAATTATGCAAAAACTTTTATTGTATAATACAAAAAGTACTTTCATAGTTTTAATGATCAGACAGACTTGTAAGTAGTAGATAAATAAAAATGAGACAAAAATAACTTGTCTTATTAAATGTTCATCAAGGACCAAGAGAGGCCAATGTAAGAAATTTCAACAAAGGATTAAATTAGTACAGAAGCATTGATTAATATACTGTATGGTGATAGTGATAAATGGGGATCAGATTTATAGAACATAATTTATAAACTGTTAATAAATATTAAGACCAATTATTTTGTTGATCATGATCACCCTATTTTTCTTGCTTTTTGGCAACAAAGTTTCACCTTTCAGTTCATTTTATACTCTATGCATCCTTTAAATTGTTGTATCATACTCAGGTGACCATTGCCCTTGGGCCTCTTGTTAATTGTAGAATAGTGATTGGTTATGTTTCATTTCTTATTTATTTACAGGAGGAATACATGAATAAACATCCAAGGGGAATAAATCCTGTACAGCTGAATGATGTCATTTTTACACTACATGCTGTGTTTGTGACGGCTGTGACAATATTTCAGTGTTTTGTTTATGATGTAAGTTTGCATTTTTTTTTTCAGTACAGAGTACATGTATATGGAAATTCTCATAATTCTAATGCTGCCATGCCTATGTGCTTTTTGTTTTTAAAACATATCTTGGTAAATAACTCAGTTGTATGTATAATAAAAACAGCAAGAAGCTAGGTAGTCAGAAGATTTTTGACATTTATGTGATCTTTGTCACTTCTCTAAAATGACAGTTTATTATTACGAAATGTTTTTATCTTTGACAGAGAGGGGGTCAGAAGATCTCTAAGAACCCTAATGTCTCTAGCCAGACTCTATATTGTTATGGTGTTATTTATTGTTATATGATTTTATCTTTGACAGAGAGGGGGTCAGAAGATCTCTAAGATTTGTATAACCCTGGTGTCTCTAGCCTGGTTGTTTATTGTTGTGGCATTATTTATTGTTATATTTGGAGATGACATCATTACCTGGCTACAGTATCTGTACTATTTCTCATATGTTAAGCTGGGAGTTACCATCATCAAATACATTCCACAGGTAATAGTCTTATGAATCAGAGTCTTCCTTTATTACAGGGGATCACAAAACAGTTCTTCTTCCACATGGAGAAGTAATATATAGAGGATATTCAATGTTTTGTAGATGAATATGGAATTTATTTCACGAGTGGGACAGGATTTTTTGATATTTTCACGAGTGCGAAGCACGAGTGAAAATATCAAAAAATCCTGTCTCACGAGTGAAATAAATTCTATATTCATCTACAAAACATTGAATTTTCTGTTTATTACATTTTCTTTGATTTTCCCTTTGCCTCTGTCTTTTCTTAACACAGTGTCATAGGCTTGACGTCATAGTTGAGCGGTTGAGACGTCACAGTTTAGCAGTTGTGTGATTGAAAACATTACATAGCATGGATTTTAGCAATATATTTATGAAAAAATTTGCAGTTTTAGCTGTATCAAGATGCTTCGGTACTATCTCTATCTTATGACAGGCCAGAAATTACTTTTTACTTACTTTGATATCCTTTCACACTGTGAGAGAATATCAATTTGGTATCCTTTCACACTGTGAGAGGATATCACTTTTATTCAATAAATAAATCACAGTATTTCACTGTTGAAAATGTAATAAATGTCTAATACATAACCTTGCTATTAAAAGCTTTCAGTGGGCATGCTTGGCTAAATAAGTTCAAAAAATGTTAGATGGAGGGCTTCTTCACAAAAAGTGGGACTTCAAGTCTTACAAAATTTTAACATTCAAATACAAATGGGAATTTGAAAAAATAGTGAAAAAAAGAAATTTGGCATACCCAGTATAAAAAAAATGGAAAAGAAAATAAATTTAAAAAATGGTATAAATGAAAATGCTTATTTTAAAAGGTTAACATTCTATTAAAGTCACAAGTGGGAATGGTTAAAATGTGGATAGCTAACACCATATCCATTAATATATGTATATATTGATATTAAAAGTTTTTTCAAGGCTTTTTAGCAATTTTCCTGTATCCAAATGGTAATAGATAAATATCTTAAAATATTCTTTTCCTCAATGTAGATGTATTTTTGATATAACCAATTTCCTTGTTTGAACAGGCTTGGATGAACTGTAAGAGACGGAGTACACTTGGATGGAGCATTGGGAATGTCCTCCTGGACTTCACTGGAGGCAGCTTCAGTCTTCTACAGATGTTTCTGTTAGCCTATAACAATGGTGAGTAGTCAGTCTTCTACAGATGTTTCTAATAGCTAATAACAATGGTGAGTAGTGAGTCTCTGTTAGCCTATAACAGTGGTGAGTAGTCAGTCTTCTACAGATCTTTCTGTAAGCCTATAACAATGGTAAGTAGTCAGTCTTCTACAGATGTTTTTGTTAGCCTATAACAATGGTGAGTAGTCAGTCTTCTACAGATGTTTCTGTAAACCTATAACAATAGTGAGTAGTCAGTCTTCTACAGATGTTTCTGTTAGCCTATAACAATGGTGAGTCAGTCTTCTACAGATGTTTCTGTAAACCTATAACAGTGGTGAGTAGTCAGTCTTCTACAGATGTTTTTGTTAGCCTATAACAATGGTGAGTATTCAGTCTTCTACAGATGTTTCTGTTAGCCTATAACAATGGTGAGTAGTCAGTCTTCTACAGATGATTTTGTTAGCCTATAACAATGATGAGTAGTCAATCTTCTACAGATGTTTCTGTTAGCCTATAACAATGGTGAGTAGTCAGTCTCTGTAAGCCTATAACATTGGTGAGTAGTCAGACTTCTACAGATGTTTTTGTTAGTCTATAATAATGGTGAGTAGTCAGACTTCTACAGATGTTTCTGTAAACCTATAACAATAGTGAGTAGTCAGTCTTCTACAGATGTTTCTGTTAGCCTATAACAATGGTGAGTAGTCAGTCTTCTATATATGTTTCTGTAAACCTATAACAGTGGTGAGTAATCAGTCTTCTACAGATGTTTCTGTTAGCCTATAACAATGGTGAGTAGTCAGTCTTCTACAGATGTTTCTGTTAGCCTATAACAGTAGTGAGTAGTCAGTCTTCTACAGATGTTTCTGTTAGCTAATAACAATGGTGAGTAGTGAGTCTCTGTTAGCCTATAACCGTGGTGAGTAGTCAGTCTTCTACAGATCTTTCTGTAAGCCTATAACAATGGTAAGTAGTCAGTCTTCTACAGATGTTTTTGTTAGCCTATAACAATGGTGAGTAGTCAGTCTTCTACAGATGTTTCTGTAAACCTATAACAATAGTGAGTAGTCAGTCTCTGTTAGCCTATAACAATGGTGAGTAGTCAGACTTCTACAGATGTTTATGTTAGCCTATAACAATGGTGAGTAGTCAGTCTCTGTTAGCTTATAACAATGGTGAGTAGTCAGTCTTCTACAGATGTTTCTGTTAGCCTCTAACAATGGTGAGTAGTCAGTCTTCTACAGATGTTTCTGTAAACCTATAACAATGGTAAGTAGTCAGTCTTCTACAGATGTTTCTGTTAGCCTATAACAATGGTGAGTAGTCAGTCTCTGTAAGCCTATAACATTGGTGAGTAGTCAGACTTCTACAGATGTTTTTGTTAGTCTATAATAATGGTGAGTAGTCAGACTTCTACAGATGTTTTTGTTAACCTATAACAATGGTGAGTAGTCAGTCTCTGTAAGCCCATGACATTGGTGAGTAGTCAGACTTCTACAGATGTTTCTGTTAGCCTATAACAATGGTGAGTAGTCAGACTTCTACAGATGTTTTTGTTAACCTATAACAATGGTGAGTAGTCAGTCTCTGTAAGCCCATGACATTGGTGAGTAGTCAGACTTCTACAGATGTTTCTGTTAGCCTATAACAATGGTGAGTAGTCAGTCTTCTACAGATGTTTCTGTTAGCCTATAACAATGGTGAGTAGTCAGTCTTCTACAGATGTTTCTGTTAGCCTATAACAATGGTGAGTAGTCATTCTTTTACAGATGTTTCTGTTAGCCTATAACAATGGTGAGTAGTCAGTCTCTGTAAGCCCATGACATTGGTGAGTAGTCAGTCTTCTACAGATGTTTCTGTTAGCCTATAACAATGGTGAGTAGTCAGTCTCTGTAAGCCTATAACATTGGTGAGTAGTCAGACTTCTACAGTCTACAGATGTTTCTGTTAGCCTATAACAATGGTGAGTAGTCAGTGTTATACAGATGTTTCTGTTAGCCTATAACAATGGTGAGTAGTCAGTCTCTGTTAGCCTATAACAATGGTGAGTAGTCAGTCTTTTACAGATGTTTCTGTTAGCCTATAACAATGGTGAGTAGTCAGTCTTCTACAGATGTTTCTGTTAGCCTATAACAATGGTGAGTAGTCAGACTTCTACAGATGTTTCTGTTTACCTATAACAATGGTGAGTAGTCAGTCTTCTACAGACGTTTCTGTTAGCCTATAATAATGGTGAGAAGTCAGTCTTCTACAGATGTTTCTGTTAGCCTATAACAATGGTGAGTAGTCAGTGTTCTACAATTGTTTCTGTTAACCAATAAGAATGGTAAGAAGTCAGTCGGATATTTAATTCTGGCACAGATATTGAAGAAAATTTTTATAGTTACAGTTTTTTCTCTTTTCCTTTGAAAAAAATACATAATAGAATTTTAAATTCTTATTGAATTTGCTTGACAGATGATTGGTCGTCTATATTTGGAGATCCCACTAAGTTTGGATTGGGGGCCTTCTCCATATTGTTTGACATTCTCTTTATGGTGCAGCACTACTGTTTATTCAGAGGGAGGGATCCGTATGAAAGTTTGAACAACTATGAGGAGGTATACAGTCCCCTCATCAAGTAACTGTCTACAGAAGGACAACAGTGATACTCAGGGCAGCTTAGGTTTGCCATTATATAAGAATGGCAAGCTCATAGCAACTCTTCTTTATGAATCAGTGCAATATAAACCCATTAGACTGTTGTGTATCTTGACAATGACTCATTTTCTAAAATGAAGAATGATATACTTGTTATACATTGTTATACATAAATGGAATCTGAGTGAAATTTTTATTTTGTATATGTACCATATGAAGGAAGAAGTGCTTCTGATCTGTAAATCAGTTTATTATTAATTATTAAGAACATGTTTATCTTTTCTGTGATAATTATGGAATTTTATATGGATACCCATGTATTTTGTTAATGCTAATTACAGAATACAGTGTATGCATTTTTAGAAAAGAAAAAAAATTATATTAATCTTATTAATGAAAATGCTTGTTGTAAATTTTGGACATGTTTTTGAATTGTTGTCATACCTAATGCATTTTTTGTGAGATCATTAAAAGTTGTTTGCAAAATATTGGCATACATTAATTTAATGGTAACTGATAAAGAAAAGTTAATACATGTATATATGCCTATCTTTCTGGAAAATATTTTTGGCTCTGCTGTATGTGGTGTTTCAAGTACATACAGGTTTCTTAGGAAGCAATTTCAGGTTGGGGACAGCCAATGTTTCCAAGCCCCAAAAGATTATCAGACATTATTATTGAGGAGCAGCACATTCTGAATATTTCTTTTATAGTTTAGTACTGTATGAATTTGAAAAAAATGCCCCCCCCCTCCCCCCACTCATACTAAGGGCCTAGTGACAATTCCAGGAAAAAATGGGAATAATCATATACTTTATAATATTCAGGAAAATTGTTATTAAGTACAATCTTATGAATACTTTAAAGGTACAAGTATAAATCTATTATAAATGGCAACTTTCTGTTTTCTGGCAGAATTATCTGAACTCTGTTAGATAAATATCTGTGAAAGCTGAAATGGTCATCACCTCTGGCAAGTTTCAAAGTGGTCATGCCTACCCGCACAGCATCACACAAAATGCAAAGGACCATCAGGCCATCATTAACTTTTTTTGTTTGATGTACTATGACCCATTTTTTTTCAGTGTAGGTAGGGTTTTCTTTTATTTTTGGAATTATCTAACACTGTAATAAATATTATGTAAAATACAGATTTACACATTTATTCCTCCATGACTCTTACCTAAACTTCATCAACATAATTTAGATGTTTGTAAAATGCAGCAAAAAAAAAAAAGGAGTGTTTGTGGACGCCCCCCCCCCCCCCCCCCCAAATATATGACCTGGATGCAAAGATATTTCTATATTCGTCTTCTTATATCAATTATTCTAATAGCATGTATTTACAATGTATTTCATTATGGAAAATCAAGAAATTAATGCACTAGAATACATTTAATGCTTTATTGGAAAATCATGCCTGCAGTTTTAATAAAAATATTTTTACGGTTGACCTTATGTACAGTTGTATGTATGAGCCGATGGTAGATATGGTAGAGAGTGCTCCCCCTAAAATAGACAACAATTAAAAAAGCCTATTATTTAAAGTTTGATTTAATTTTTATTGGAACATCCTCAAATATAACTACACTGTTCCAGGGATGGGGTCAACTACTTTAAAAAGTAATAAATTAAATTACAATTACTTTGACTTTTTCTTCAATTAAATTACAATTAAGTTACAGGCTTTCTAAGACATGTAATTAATTAAATTACAATTACTTTGTAAAAGTAATTAATTAAATTACAAATTACATTTTTAATTTTTTTGAAAATTTTTATAATCCTTTTCAATGAATATACAGAACATCGTTTATTTGTATATAAGCTCAGCCTCTTCCAATTACTTCAAAAGATGTAATTAATTACAGTCAATTACAATTACTTTTTTCAATTACCCCATCCCTGCACTGTACTGTTATTCCGGAAAATCCTACCCTTCCTTTTTGAGGGTAGCGTATGCAAAGAGGAAATAACTCTCCGTCAAAATAGTCACAAATGCGATGGCAGGAAACGTAGAAGTTATTCAGCGTTCTTGTGAAACTCCTGGCTGTGATAAGGATGCCAAATTACAGTGTCCAACATGTATAAAACTTTCTATTCCCGGGTCATTTTTCTGTTCACAGGTTTGTTACCATTATAAAAACAAACTTGCTTTAACCCGAATTTCCTTAAAAATTTGATGAACGATTGATTGAGGAAAGTGCATGAACATCAAATATATCTTTTGATCACATTTCAATAGATATATGTATATTTCAGGAATGCTTTAAGGGGTTTTGGAATGATCATAAGAAAATTCATAAAAAAGCAAGTAAGTTGGAAGACTGCAAACAACAGGTGCAAATGTCTATATAAATTATAAGTACCAGTAATCTATTTTGAACAATAAAATGCTTTCTTTGGTTCTTGGTATGGGAATCAATGTCGTAGCTGTTGCAGAAAATTAACATACATAATACACATAAAGCAGTTAATTCTTGTTTCTGCAATAGATGTAACGTTAATTCCCATACCAAAAAAAAAAAAAATTAAAAAATTATTGTTTATATTCATGTCTGTATAAATAATCATATTAAGTTCATTATATATTGTATTATTGATACGTACATTATTGTATGTTGGAAGAACCACTGCTCAAAAAATCTATACAGGTGGCTTGCTTAGTGACATTAAAGTATTGATAAACAACAATGGTTTTCATAAGAAATAAAGGAGAAAATATTCAGTGGATGTAAATATATCTCCTAGTTTGTTTAATAATTATAAGACAGATATATACATATATAAAACAATTACCTACTCTGATTATTTGATGTGAATTTGCAGAAGATGAATCGGCAAAGAACAGTGGTGAATACAACCCTTGGCCTGGATTTAAGTTTACAGGTGCCCTCAGACCACACAGAGTAGTAAGTTTACAGGTGCACTGAGATCACATAGAGTGGTCAGTTTACAGATGCCCTCATACCTCAGTGTGTAAGTGTACAGGTGCCCTAAGGTCACAGAGTAGTAAGTTTACAGATGCCCTCAGACCACATTGATGATAAGTTTACAGATGCCCTTAGACCACACAAAGTGATAAGTTTACAGATGCCCTCAGACCACATAGAGTAGTAAGTTTACAGGTGCTCTTAGATCACATAGAGTAGTAAGTTTACAGGTGCTCTCAGACCACATAGAGTCGTAAGTTTAGAGATGCCCTCAGACCACATAGAGAAGTAAGTTTACAAATGCCCTTGGACCACATAGAGTAGAAAGTTTTCAGATGCCTTCAGACCACATAGATGGTAAGTTTACAGGTGCCCTGAGACCACACAGAGTGATAAGTTTACAGGTGCTCTCAGACCACATAAAGTGATAAGTTTACAGGTGCTCTCAGACCACATAGAGTGATAAGTTTACAGGTGCTCTCAGACCACATAGAGTGATAATTTTACAGGTGCTTTCAAGTGTAAAAGAGTGGTAAGTTTTTCCAGATGTTCTCAGGTAACGACTAGGAATGGTAAGGCCATTCCAAGTTTTTTCAGTGGTTAGCATCTGCATGTGCCTTGGTTTTTGACACCCCATGTCAGAAAAAAACAAACGGAATCATTCATTAATAATTAAATTTTGTTCGTATTCTAACCTCTGATTGGTTAAATTCAAAAAAGGAACACAAATTATTTCTGTATAACCTGGTTTGGTATGGGGACACCCCCCCCCCCCCCCCCCTTGACAACCAGCTGAATCGTCTGTATCCATGCAATCCTCTGATTTCCAGTCCTCGGGATTCATGGAAAATTCCAGATTTAATAAATGTACCTTTAACTTCAAACAGTAACTCGGATCTTACCACATGTAAACAAACAACATGGCTGTTAGGACTATATATCAGTTTTTACCTCCCCTTGCTTCCCATCACTTCCGTTACTACGGTTGTATTATTGAGCGACAAATTTGAACTAATAAAAAGCAACGACATTTTACACCCACAGTTGTTTAATGATTTTAGAATTAAATTATAAGGAATGACTCTAATTCTTGGCCAAATTATTCGAGTATAACCTGGTTTGGGTCAGTTTACGCTGTTTTATAATCCGCTTTGCAGATTATAAAGCGTAAACTGACCCAAACCAGGTTATACTCGAATAATTTGGCCAAGAATTAGAGTCATTCCTAAATAAAATTGATTTTTCTTGTCAAAATTTTTTAATTGTATCAATTTCTCTAAAATTATTGTGTACAGTATGTCATATAAGGAATATATTAAGCATTTAATACCTTGTTTTTGCTGAAAAAAGATCTTTTTACAAGAAAAATAAATAAAATCAAATCATTTGAATGAAATCATTTATATGAATATAAAGTCTGTGTTTTATTTTTGTAAATAAAAATTTAAAAATTATCTAAATGGAGAAAGAAAATTAGTCTTAAGTTTAAATTTTGTATTATAATTAAATAATTTGTTTCACTTGATAAGTTTTTCTATCCTTGCATTACTTTTTAGAGATGTTTTAATCAAAAGTGTGAAATTTTGTAGACCCCCAAACGTATGGTTCCTGATATGATACCCAGACCTGACTATGCTGAGCATCCAGAGGGTGAGTTCAAAATACATACAATTTATATAAGAGAAAATTTTGTTTCATATGAATCCATGATCAATGTATGACAAGTGATATTTTTACATATGTAAACAACAGGTATACCTATCAGCGAGAGACAGATGAGAGGATCTACAAATATAAAGATTTTGTCAGATGAGGAACAGGAGGACCTGAGGGTTGCCTGTAAGGTCAGTATCTCCTTGAGGAACACAGGAGGACCTGAGGGTCACCTGTAAGGTCAGTATCTCCTACAGGAACAGGAGGATCCAAGGTTTCCCTGTGAGGTCAGTATCTCCTCGAGGAACAGGAGGACCTAAGGGTTGCCTGTAAGGTAAGTATCTCCTTGAGGAACAGGAGGACCTGGGGGTTGCCTGTAAGGTCAGTATCTCCTCCAAGAAAAAGAGGACCTGGGGTTTGCCTGTAAGGTCAGTATCTATTCCAGGAAAAAGAGGACCTGGGGGTTGCCTGTAAGGTCGGTATCTCTTCTAGGAACAGGACCCTAGGTTCCCTGTGAGGTTAGTATCTCCTCAAGGAACAGGAGGAGCTGAGGTTCCCCTGTGAGGTCAATATCTCCTCAAGGAACAGGAGATCTGATGTTCCCCTGTGAGGTCAGGATCTCCTCAAGGAATAGGAGGACATGATGGTTACCTGTAAGGTCAGTATCTCCTTCAGGAACAGGAAGATCTGAGGGTCACCTGTAATGTCAGTATCTCCTGACACGTCAGGCCATTAGGAAAAATAAACACAGAGATTTTTATTATTTTTTAAAAAAGTGAAACACTGTAATTTAGCATTGAATGAAATTGATAAATAACAGATGTGTTATTTTCACTGTGAAAGTTACAAATTCACAGCAATACTCTCCTTTCCCTTTAGGAAGAATGTTAAAGAAAGTACTCCCTTTTAAATAGGTAGAACCACCCTGATACTAAAACTGCCAACATTTCTCTTAATTGTTGTTAAAATTGTTGTTTACAATATTCAATCTCACAACTGCTCATCTATAATGGTACAGCCTAAGCCAGTGAGGTAGAGAAAGACAGTAGTACTTTAAACATTTTAATTATGTATTTACAGCTAGGAAGAGAAGTGCTAGATATAGCAGCTGATGTCACAGCAGTGGGTGTTACTACAGAAGAAATTGACAGAATTGTTCATGAGGTACACATTTAATAATCAACATTGCACAACAAAGGAATAAAAATTAAAAAACATCAAGTTTTCTTTTAATGGGAAAAATTGGTAAAGATATTAGATTTGGTCAGCCAGAAGCAGAGTGGTCCATTTCAGTGAGATAGAAACAAATGTACAAATATTGTCTTTTTCAGGCCTGTATTGACAGACAATGCTACCCATCTCCACTTAATTACTACTGCTTTCCTAAGTCCTGTTGTACGTAAGTCATCAGTCTTTTTATTATACAAATCGTGCCTGAAGCATTAAACCCAGAATGCAGGGAGGACAGATGTATTCCATTCTGCATGAAATTTTCTGTTTGACTTATTAACACCAAAGATTTTTAGTGCATGTTGAGTTTATTATTAGCTAAAGTTTGTTATGTATTTCAGGTCAGTAAATGAAGTTATTTGTCACGGTATACCAGACATGCGGCCATTAGAAGATGGTGACATTATGAATGGTGGGATATTAATTAACAAACATAAACTCTGCACCAAAATAGTTGTGGCAAACAATAAAACATATATTGTACTAGTTACACTTGCTGAATTTATTATTAATTCTTTTCTAAGGAAAAACCAGTATAGATACATGTACATTTAGTTTGTTACAATTTGGAAAACAGATGTAGTGTTTAAAAGGTGTTTTTGCATATATGTTCAGACTTAAAGTGTAATGTATTTTCTCTTTTAGTTGACATTACTGTATACCATAGAGGGTGCCATGGAGATCTTAATGAAACTTTCTTTGTTGGAAATGTAGATGAAAAAAGTAAAAAACTGGTGAAAACGACGCATGAGTGTTTGGCTATGGCTATAGCAGAAGGTACACAAGTTTGACAAGGTGTTTTTTTTTAAATAACAAAGTTGACAGCAGATTTTAGCAAAAACAAGTTTGTCTAATTGATGAATGTGTATAAATGCTGTGTGATTTTATTGAAGTCAAGCCAGGTGTTCGGTACAGAGAGATGGGAAACATTATACAGAAGCACGCCCAGGCTCATGGATTTTCTGTCGTTCGGAGCTACTGTGGTCATGGCATTCACCAGTAAGTGCTATGTTAGACTCCGTATATAGACAGCTCATTCTTTGACCAGTTAAATCATTTATTACTGTAGTTAATTTACCTTTTTAGTCCTTTTCCTCATGTAAGTCGTGGTTATTTTTAACAGATTATTCCATACAGCCCCCAGTGTTCCTCATTATGGCAGTAAGTTTCCATGTTATATTTCTGGAATTACCATAATTAAAGGTGAATTTACATGTACTTTTATCAAGATTTATACAAATAAGAAGTTTCTGTTATGCTGCTTTTTATGTTTTCTACAGAAAACAAGGCTATTGGAGTGATGAAACCTGGTCATTCATTCACCATAGAACCAATGATATCAGAAGGTACCTTTAATATGCTTTTCTTTTTTTATGACCCCCCTCTCAATTTAAGGGGGATAGTGGAATCATCCTCCATAAGTAGCCATTTTTGTGCATAAACTATATCTGAAACTATACTTTTCCCCAGACTTTGTCAAATAATACTCTATGTGAACTTTTGCAGAAGACTTTTCAAAATTTTAAAGTGATACTGTATGTGTACTTCAAAAAGCGGGCTTCATATTTTAGGGACTTTGGCGCAGACAACGATGTGCTAATTTATGAATATCGCTAAGAAATCATTTATATATACAATATACGGCACAGACGTATAGCGCTAATTCATGATTACACCAACAACTCCATACCCAGTGATTGCGCTAAATTTTGAATACGCCAATTTATGTACACGTACATTACATCCAATGTAAATCATTTAATAGGAATAAGATGACTGGGATTTTTTCTGGGCATAACTTTGAAACCCAGAAACTGTTAAGGCTCATACTTGATAGAAGGTCTTTTTAAAACAAGGTGGTACAATATGGTTACTGAATTACATTAGTCACAAGTTTTAAAATGGAAATGGCCTGAACCCAGGGTAATTTGGACATGGTAAAGGTCACAGGTTTCAAAATTGCTTAATTTTGGAGAGAAAAACATCACTAGGTACAATGTTTCTTAGGTCTAGAAAGTAATACTCCATTAAATGTTGCCCATAGCACAATTTTGTAGCGGAATAATTAGATTATACTTGCCCTCACGGTCAATTATAATCGGAGGATGTTTCATGACCCTGAGCAAAGGTTATTTAGACAAGGTTACAGAGTCAGAGTTCAGTGTCCTGAAAGTATCAAAAACTTAATTTTTTAAGACAAATTATACTGGAGGAGCATCAAGTCATACTTTGTACAGAGGTTGCTTTGCTTGTGACCAAGTCTTAGCTGTTATCAAGGTCACACAACAGATTTTTGATACAAGCATTTTGTTTACCAAGATTTTAAACTATTTTAATGTATCCTCTTTCTTGTTTGATGTTCACCTGTTATATTATGTTTTTTAGGTACTTGTTTAATGTTCACTTGTAATTTAGGTACTTGGCGTGATGAAATGTGGCCTGATAACTGGACGGCAGTCACCTTGGATGGAAAGAGATCTGCTCAGTTTGAACATACGCTGTTAGTTACAGACATTGGCTGTGAAGTGTTAACAAGACGCCGGGAGAAAGATGGACAACCTCACTTTATGGACAAATTATGAGTTCTGAAATATACTGTATGGATTTATATTTAACAGTTGTTTGTACTTCAAGAAGTATCTTGATACGATAAAGTTGATATTAAGGAGAAACTGACACCATGAAACAGCCTCCTGCTTTAATTGCTTTGTTAAGATTAATACTGGTTTTCTTTTAATTTGTGATCACATAAGTATATCAAATAAAAGAATCAACAGAAATAGCAAAACTGTGCTTCTTACCTACTCTTTTTTGGTTTAGATTACAACACCAACAAAAAAGTGACTATTGCAGGTATTCAGATGAAAGAACTGGTTGAACTACATTTTGATTGCTTCCTGAGCAATAAAAAGCCATTTAAGCAGAATATGAATTAAAATAGTGAAAACAGTCCATAAATACTGTATATGTAGAGATGTACATGTATATAAACAATGAGACCAGTTCTCTTGTTACCAATACAGAACAAGAAAACAGTGTCACAACTCTCTAATTTGTAAACTCTCATTGAAAAAAGGCTTAAATACTGGATCCTGTCCTCCACTTCAAAATATCACAATTTGTGCTCTGTTCACCATATTACAGCAAGTGTTCTGTTAAACATATCACAGCCAGTGTTCTATGTAACCATGTCACAGTGACAGCTTCTGTAAAGTCTTCTGATGTTCTACTCATCAGCTACTGCAGCTACAGGTGATGTCAGATACCTGTTATTTATGCCAGGTTGTAGATATCCTCAGGGTGTGCTAAAGAACAGGATATAATCTGTAAAACAGCCTTTCCTCCATACTTACTGCTTCTGTATACCTGTGTTAGAGAATTAAACAAACTTCAAAATACTGAAGCACTAGCCAAAGTGGAATGATACTTTATGTGTATTGCCTTAGTCCACCAAGGTTCAGGCCCAACATCTTGAGCAAAATGGTAATTTGTAGTGGTATGCTTCACCAGTCAATGGAGTTTTAAAACTTAAATTTATGGCATTTGTTTGGCCAGATGAAAAAGGATTAACTGAAGCTGGAATTTATAGACTTGAGAGTTACTTCCACTGATCATTACCATTGGAATTATATGTCCCTAAAACTTTGTGAACAAAGGAATTTGATTTAAGAAATCACTACACCGTATTGGAAAATGGGTGAAAAAACAGGTGGATGGATAGTTAAAAAAATTAAGAGGCAAAAAAGAAACTATTTACAACTCTATTAACAATTTTATGAGCCTTGGCTACTGTTTTTGTACAAACTGACCATACTTACCTTAAAGTACACTTTACACCTTTCTAAAAGAAACCTCCACTTAATCTTTGTCTTATTTGCCAAATCTAACTTGAGGTAATTCTCCACCTGCAACACAAATTGAATTTTAGTAAACAAGAGGCCCATAGGCCACATCGCTCACCTGAGCACATTGGCTAGGAAAAAAAGCTGCAAGAAGTCTGTGAGCCAATGCTCACTAATGATACCACCACTATGATGTGAATACACAAGTTCAGTTATGGACAGACACAGTGATAATCAGGAAATTGACATCGGATTTGTACAAAAATGAATCCCAACATATGGCATGCCTAAACAAAGAGTGTGTTAAAAGGATGACTGCACTTAAAAGGATATGCGAAATTTGCGCCAAAATAAACTTTCAAAACAAGCATTTTTCTTTTCATTGCAAGAATGGTCAACATCCAACCTACAACTTTATGTAATTACGTTTAATAAAAGTGTGTATTTACGAAGTTCGAATCTGTTTTCAAAGGCAGGGGTCATCACTATTTCTTGAATCTCTGTTCGATAATGAGGACGCCCACTTTTTTACTGACATCATACATAGTCAGCGCATGTTTGTCTATTGTTCTATGTTTAACAGTAGTTGTATATTTACATAAATAATAATGTGTCAAGAGGAGATTAATAGACAAACATGCGCTCATGGTTAAAAAGAGAAAAAACTGCTTCTTCTTACATTCGCTCACTGTGTTGTAACCAAGGGTTGTGACATGGTGAATATTAAAATTCATCACGTGATTTCGTACCTCAGGTAACTTTGTGAATACTTAATTCCGTCACGTGACTTGTAAGGTAGCATGTGTTGTGCTAACTAGGACATTGTGTTCGAATAGTTAAGTCATCTGGCATTGATATAAAATCTGCTTTAATTACATTGACGTGCTGCTATTGTTAATTTCGTTTTGAAACATTTGTCGGTAGTGTATTTGTCCCATACAGAATGGAGAGGGAGATTGGAAAGAGTGATCGCGTTCTTTTTTTCAAACAAGTCATTGTTATTTATCAAGTCTAAATTTAGACCCATTCTTACAATGTTAGCTCCACCTCTCATGCATATCGTATGTTCAATCAAGGGCAGGTAAGTGTAAATTCTCTATATTTGGAAAGCAGTAAGGACAAAAAACATTGAATCATTTTATTGTATCACAGTCTAAAATCATTTTAGGATTTAAATTTGGTTCCAGATTGACAGGATTCTTTCATAAACATACAAAAGTGAAATAAGGTTTAAATATAAAAGGAACAGAAGCAACCGAAAAAGACCCAAAAACCGGCGTTAAGTGCAGTCATCCTTTCAAGCATCTGCGATGAGTAGTTGCCGAGAAAACTGCCACCCAAATTTGTTATGTATGTTACGGACAGATGCACGGATCAACAGGAAGTTGATATCAGATTTCTACAACAAGAGGCCCATGGGCCACAACGCTCACCTGAGTCAATATGATCCTACTGTTCTTCGTCAGCAGATTTCTTCTCCTATATATTCATATGTAAAGCTTTGATCGCCTGTTCTAGGCATACCCTACCCCCAGGTGCCATGTTTTGAATGAAAATGAATCTAAACTTTCTGAGGATGCTTCTATATTCATATAACTAATCATGGATTTGCTGTTCTTGAAAACGGAACTTTAAAGATGTCTGCCACCCTACCCTGGGGGGGGGGGGGGGGGGGTGTCATGATTTGAACAAACTTGAATCTACACTACCTTAGGATGCTTCCATATCAATATGACTAATCATGGCTTTGTTGTTCTTGAGAAGAAGATTTTTAAAGATATTTCCTATATATAATTCTTTTGTTAAACTTTGATCCCCCTTATGGCCCCACCCTACTACTGGAGGATGCCTTGAACAAACTTGAATCTACAATACTTGGGGATGCTTCAATATCAATATGACTAATCATGGCTTTCCTGTTCTTGAAAAGATTTTTCCTATATATTCCTATGTAAAACTTTGATCCTCATTGAGGCCCCACCCTACCCCGAGGGTCATGATTTCAACAAACTTGAATCTACACTACCTGACGATGATTCCATATCAATATGACTAATTGTGGCTTTATTGTTCTTGAAAAGAAGATTTTTTAAAGAATTTTCCTATATATTCCTATGTAAAACTTTGATCCCTCATTGTGGCCCCACCCTATCCCCGGGGGTCATGATTTGAACAATCTTGAATCTACACTACCTGAGGATGATTCCAATCAATATGACTAATTGTGGCTTTGTTGTTCTTAAGAAGAAGATTTTTAAAGAATTTTCCTATATATTCCTATGTAAAACTTTGATCCCTCATTGTGGGCCCACCCTACCCCCGGGGGTCACGATTTGAACAAATTTGAATCTACACTATGTATTGAAGGTATCAAATAAGTTTCAACTTTTCTGGCCCAATGGTTCTTGAGAAGATTTTTAAAAGATGACACCAAATTTTCACCAATTCTTAATTATCTCCCCTTGGAAGAGGGTGTGGCCCTTCATTTGAATAAACTTAAATTCCCTTCACCCAAGGATGCTTTGTGGCAAGTTTGGTTGAAATTGACCCAGTGGTTCTGGAGGAGAAGTCAAAAATGTGAAAAGTTTACAGATGGACAGACAGACAGACGGACTATGGACAAAATGTGATCAGAAAAGCTCACTTGAGCTTTCAGCTCAGGTGAGCTAAAAATGAATCCCACAATATGGCATGCCTAAACAAAGACTGTGCTAAAATTTCAAGCATCTGCAATGAGTAGTTGCTGAGAAAACTGCGACCAAAATATGTTATGTATGGTACGGACAGATGCACGGATAAACAGGAAGTTGACATCAGATTTGTACAAAAATGAATCCCACCATATGGCATGCCTAAACAAAGAGTGTGCTAAAATTTCAAGCATCTGCAATGAGTAGTTGCTGAGAAAACTGCAACCAAAATTTGCTACGGACAGACACACCGTCTGACAGATGGATGTATACACAGACAAACACACAAGGGTAAAACAGTATATCCTCCTCTCCTTCTGAGCAGGGGTATAAAAATCAATTCATTATTGAAAAGCTTAAATGCATAAGTGGTCCCAACCCACCCATAAAGCGAGGGGGGGGGGGTGTCATGATTTGAACAAAATTGAATCTACACTAACTAAGGATGCTTACATATTTCTTTGATTAACTGTGGCTTTTTTTCCCTACAAGTTTGAACTTTCATTGTGGCCCCACCCTACCCCTGGGGGTCATGATTTGAACAAACTTGAATCTACACTACCTGAGGATACTTCCATATAAATATGACCAATCATGGCTTGGCTTTGCTGTTCTTGAGAAGAAAATTTTTAAAGATTTTCCCTATGTATTCCTATGTAAAACTTTGATCGTCCATTGTGGTCCCACCCGACCCTAAGATTTTTAAAGATTTAACTCCTATGTAAAACTTTGATTGTCCATTGTGGCCATACCCTACCCCAGGGGGTCATGATTTGAACAAATTTGAATGTATAACACCTGAGGACGCTCCCATATAAATATGACCAATCATAGCTTTGCTGTTCCTGAGAAGAAGATTTTTGAAGATTTTTCCTATAAACTCCAATGTAAAACTTTGATTGTCCATTGTAGCCCCACCCTACCCCTGGGGGTCATGATTTGAACAAACTTGAATCAACACCACCTGAAAATGCTTCCATATAAATATGACCAATCACAGCTTTGCTGTTCTTGAGAAGAAGATTTTTGAAGATTTTTCCTATATATTCCTTTGTAAAACTTTGATCGTTCATTGTGGCCCCACCCTATCCCCGGGGTCATGATTTGAACGAACTTGAATCTACACTACCTGACAATGAAGGTGTGGCCCTTCATTTGAATAAACTTGAATCCCCTTGACCCAAGAAAACTCTGTGCTAAGTTTGGTTGAAATTGGTTCAGTGGGTCTTGAGAAGAAGATGAAATTGTGAAAAGTTGACAACGACGACAAACAAAGGACAAATTTCGATACGAAAAGCTCACTTTAGCCTTCAGCTCAGGTGAGCTAAAAATACTTGGTGTACAGGAAGCACTTTTCAGCCTACGTACATAGAAATCTATAACTAGTACCTTGACCCCTATGAGGTGTTCTGCCACACTGCCATACAGGTAACACAGCTCCAGTGTACCTGAGTGGTCAGACAGAGAGACTGGGATCCTATACTCCATGTCAGCTTCTCCAAGCATGGGGGCCTCACAGATATCAAACAAGTTTAGGGCACTGTTACAACACTCAACATTAGAACAAATGTAGCCATTCATCTCTGTTATAGGATGCTTACATTTCTTACTGAAAGGAAAAAAAGAAGCAGTTACTGAGGGTATGATATGTATACAATTATACATGTATCTTTGAAAAACACTCAATGCTTAATAATCTAGATTTGTGTTATCTGGACAGATCTTTCAAGCAAGGGGTAAATTAAACAAGAGGCCCAAGGGCTTTAACGGTCACCTGAGTATAATACAACAATTTAGAGGATCCATAGAGTATAAAATGAACTGAAAGGTGAAGCTTTGTTGCCCAAAAGCAAGAAAAATAGGGTGATCAGGATTAACAAAAAAATTAGTCTAGTATTCATTAACAGTTCATAAATTAGGTTCTAATCTGTTCCCCATTTATCACTCTCACCGGACAGTATATTAAGAAACTATCAGTGCTTCTGTACTCTTTTAATTCCTTGTGGAAATCTCTTACATTGGCCTGAGTAAGACTCTTGGTCTTTGATGAACATTTAAGGTACTGGTATTCCATCCCTAATAGCCTCAGATTCAATGAATTTGAATACATAACAGATGTGTACGGGTGGAATACTCAGTATATTTAGACATAATCTACATTTATTACTATTAGCATGTAAGAATGGAAGTGTCCTAATTTATGACTTGACCTTTGTTGAAGAGTTATCTCCCTCTTTTTTTAAGTAATAAAAATCAATTTTAAAAAAATATATGGTAAAAAATTGTTTTCAATTGTCATTCTATTTCTAATGATTTAATGGATCTTTCCACCACAGTAGTTATTGATATTCTTATTATCTGAATTTTTATTTTAAAAAAATCGCTTGTCTCCATAGACTTCAATGCAATTTCTATTAATTAAATACTGCTTAGTTAATTACGTTTTTGAAACTTTCACTTGGTAAATCCTTTTCTACTGTAAAGTTCTTTTAATTAATATCAGAGTATTATATACGTGATTGATATTTAAGGATAGAGAATTAGTTCCTATTAGGGATGGAAAACCTTAATAAGACAAGTCTACCTGATCATTAAAACTATGAAAGTACTTTTTGTATTATACAATAAAAATTCTTGCATAATTCTATAATTCTATTAACCTTTCAAGTACATTATTTACAGTGATTAATTATCAAAAGTAAATGGCAAAGGGGGATAACTCCTCTCAGTAGAATACAAATTAATAGAGCCCTGGCCTGGACTAGAACACTTGACCAAATGGTCTTGATGTTCAAAAATCTGGTAAAAATACCCTTCCTTATTAAAACTTTTACTCTTTTTGCCTCTGATATGCCCAGGTGCAGAGAATATTTTTAAAGCATTAATGCATTTTCACTATATAATAAATAGAGTCCCGCCCTAACATCAGAACCTCTGATCCAGGGGTCATGAAATTCACAAATTTGGAAAAGGCATCCTTGCTTATCATAACCATGTATTTGTTTAAATAATATCCATGGGGAAGAGAAGACGCTTTTCAAAGAAATAATGCACTTTCACTATATGATCTATATAGCCCCACCCTAGCACCAGAACCCCTGACCCAGGGGCCATGAATTTCACAATTTTGGTAGAGTCACTCTTGCTCATCATAACTATGTATTTGATTTGTTTCAATAATACCCAGGAGTAGAGAAGAAGATTTTTAAAGAAATAATGCACTTTCACTATATGATCTATATAGCCCTGCCCTAACACCAGAACCCCTGACCCTGGGGCTATGAATTTCACAATTTTGGTAGAGTCACTCTTGCTTATCATAACTATGTATTCGATTTGTTTCAATAATACCAAGGAGTAGAGAAGAAGATTTTCAAAGAAATAATGCACTTTCACTATATGATCTATATAGCCCCGCCCTAGCACCAGAAACCCTGACCCTGGGGCTATGAATTTCATAATTTTGGTAGAGTTACTCTTGCTTATCATAACTATGTATTCAATTTGTTTCAATAATACCAAGGAGTACAGAAGAAGATTTTCAAAGAAATAATGCACTTTCACTATATGATCTATATAGCCTCGCCCTAACACCAGAACCCCTGACCCTGGGGCTATGAATTTCACAATTTTGGTAGAGTCACTCTTGCTTATCATAACTATGTATTCAATTTGTTTCAATAATACCCAGGAGTAGAGAAGAAGATTTTCAAAGAAATAATGCACTTTCACTATATGATCTATATAGCCCTGCCCTAACACCAGAACCCCTGACCCTGGGGCTATGAATTTCACAATTTTGGTAGAGTCACTCTTGCTTATTATAACTATGTATTCAATTTGTTTCAATAATACCCAGGAGTAGAGAAGAAGATTTTCAAAGAAATAATGCACTTTCACTATATGTTCTATATAGCCCCACCCTAACACCAGAACCCCTGACCCTGGGGCCATGAATTTCACAATTTTGGTAGAGTCACCCTTGCTCATCATAACTATGTATTCAATTTGTTTCAATAATACCAAGGAGTAGAGAAGAAGATTTTCAAAGAAATAATGCACTTTCACTATATGATCTATATAGCCCCGCCCTAGCACCAGAACCCCTGACCCTGGGGCCATGAATTTCACAATTTTGGTAGAGGGCTCAATGCTTATTACAATCATGCCAACAGTCTGACTGCTTGATGTCCAGGAGTAAAGAAGAAGATTTTTAAAGATTGCATTAATTTTGATGGTTTTGGCCCCACCCCTCAGGCCCCAGGGGGGCAGGGGCCACGAATTTCACAATTTTTGTTCCCCTTTACCCATAGATGCTATATGCCAAAATTGGTTGAAATTGGTTCACTGGTTCCAGAGAAGAAGCTGAAAATGTTCAAAAGTTTACGACCGACGAACGACGGACGACGACGGATGAAAAGAGATAGCAATAGGTCACCTGAGTGACTCAGGTGACCTAAAAATTTCAAATACTGAATAGACAAAGAATCCACAGAATTGTAGAGATAGCATTCATAGATGCTATATGCCAAAACTGGTTGAAACAGGTTGAGTGGTTCCAGAGAAGAAGCTGAAGACTGACAGCACATGATGACAGATGAAAACAGATCGCAATAGGTGACTTAAAATATCGAAAGTAGTTTTCTTTAAGTTACTGGGAGTTATGATATAAAATTTCATAGAAAAAGCTCAGGGAAAACTAAAGTTATCATCCAGAAACCATTTTTTGTATTGAATGAATTTCTGACCTTGACCTTTGGATCTAAAAATAAGTAGGGTCTTTTTTAAGCCATTAGGAGTTATGATCTATAACTTTATTGAAAAAGCTCAGAGAACTAAAGTTATCATCTGGAAACCAACTTTTGGAATATATAAATTTAAGGTCATAGGGAGTTGTGATATAAAATTTCAATGCAAAATCTCAAAGGCAATTTCAGATATAGTCAGGAAACAAAAGTATTATATTCCATCAATGCATGACCACTGTCTGATAGGAGAGCATCAATATCAACTTCAGCAGATGAGCACATATGATAAAGTAAAGCTTAAATGGTATGATGTATGTGTCAATCTGACCTTGACTTTAGACCTTTGATCTGAAAATCAAAAGTGTTTTTTAGGCTACAGGGAGTTGTGAAAATAAATTCTATTTTAGAAAGCTCAAAGAAACTGAAGTTATCACCTCGAAACTGTTATTTGCAATAAATGAATAACTGATCATGACCTTTTGACCTCAAAAATCTTTTTTAGATCATAGGGAGTTGTAATATAAAATTTCTTTGACAGAGCTCAAAGGCTTTTTAAGATATTATCTGTAAATGAAAATGTAAAGATTGAAATGAAAATGAAAATTGTAAATGAAAGTGTTACCCATAGACAGAATGTATGAATTTATGACCTCGACCTTGAATCTTCTGACCTAAAAATCAATAGGGGTTTTCTTTCAACCATAGGGAATTGTGATATAAAATTTCATTGCAAAAGCTCTCAGTCTTTTTGTGATATTTAGAAACGAAAGTGTTACACACAGACAAAATGACAGATGGATGGACAGAATGACAGTTGGATGGACAGACACAGACAGATGGACAGACCCAAATTAATATTCCCAACTTTCAGTGAAAGCCGGGTACAAAAAATATCTAAATAAAAATGTAGGAGGTGTCAAGATTTGAGGACAAGATCTGATGGATGAATGGGGATGATGACAATGTACACTATACCTGGACTTTACATAGAAAGAGTTTGTATAAGAACAGAATATAAAAACTACGAAATATATATATCAATATAAGTATAGCAAAAATTGTTAAGTTTTCAATTTTTTATTATTGTTAAAATATCTGAACTTTAAGACTTTGAAACACTGAAGCATATACTCAATAGATATACCATCTATAGGTTATGACTGAGTTAGGGTCCTCCTTGTCTGTATTGAACTGGGACAGGAAAAGACAGCTAACACCATACACAGTAGGTTTCCACTGAGTCTGTAAGTCACACATCACACTCTTCACATCAGATACATTAAACTTCTCTGTTATCTTCTCCACTGCAAATTAAAGTATTCCTATACATCAATCTGCTGAACTCAGAAGAATTAAGATCATTCATTCATACAATGTTAAGGTTCATAATCCCTTAGTTCACATAAAAAAAGTTTTTTAAACACTGATGATTTTCTAAAATAATTATATTTTATAAGTAAAATGTAAACAAATTTAGCACACATGTAGCATGCAGTAAAAAATTGGTCCAAAAAAAAATCTTTACAAATTTATAAAGGTTATCTCTTTAAAAGTTATCTCTTTTATCAGAGTATCAATGAACCTTAAACAATCGTACCCCTAAAAATGAAGCATGAAATCAGTGTTGAGATTCATATTTGGTGCCTCCAATTCATAATTAATATTTTTGGAAGTGGATTTATTAAATTTGCAGAAAGAATAATAAACTTTTTAAGAGAGTACTAGTGTTTATACATGATCAAATCATGAGTGTCCACTAAATACAATAATTTGAGGATACATGTACACATACAGGGTGGATCAGCTTTAGTATCATCTGGTTCCTCTGTGATGTCACAGCTCTGAGCATACTGATACAGACTGTGAGCCTCCTGGGTGTCTACAATCAAAATTAAGTCTTATTTAATAATACAACTGCTGTCTTTGGACTTTGGACAATTTGATACAACAATTCAGAGCCCTTAGGTATATTCATGTTAATACAATGACTATGCAATACCAAAATATAGGATTTTTTTTCATAAAATGTAGAAACATACTTTGTTGGATAGAAAGTTTTCAAGTTACTGCTTCACTTAGAGGTACATGTATTAACAAAAGGACAAACCCTGTAACTACTGGAGGACACCTGCATTTTGATGATTTATATTTCCATAAAAAAGTGTAAGAAGTGTAGCAGATGGAATTGCTATAGAACCCTATTATGGCTGATACCTGGGTTAACTGTAAAGACTGTCTTAATATGGCTGATACCTGGATTAACTGTAAAGACTGTCTTAATATGGCTGATACCTGGATTAACTGTAAAGACTGTCCTCATATGGCTGATACCTGGGTTAACTGTAAAGACTGTCTTAATATGGCTGATACCTGGATTAACTGTAAAGACTGTCTTAGAATCAGAGGTAGCCACCATACAGGATCTGTAGCTGTCAAAGGACATCCGGGCATCTGCCACATACAACACTGAAAAACAGAGGTTATCTTTGATATGATTTCATTGTTAACAACTATGATACCCATACTTGTACCAAAACATATGGAAAAAACTTGAACTACTACATGTATCTATATATCTACATGTATCTATAATATGCTTTATATTAGTACCAATATATGGACATTCACTTGTGAGTTATGAAAAGTTGATGTTTACTGTTCTTGATATTATCCAAACACTTCCTTACCTGTGTTGTAAGGTGTCCATGTGGAAGCCATAGAGGCAGCCTCTTTGTCCCATCTATAGTGATCACAAACAACAAAAGTCAAAGCATGTGTATGTAAGGTAGCTTCCACTAGAGTCATTTTTAAAGAAATGTTTCAGTATTTCAACAGGACATCCTGAATTATAATCATTGTAACATTGACTAAATGACTAGAGTTGGCAGGCTTTGGATTAAACAAGAACTCACATTACAAAGGGAAAGCTCGACAAGCCCTCATCCATCAGGGTCAACTCACATCTCTGAGTCTGTCTGCCTGTTTTTGTTGTAATGTCCTTCACCTCACCAACCTGAGTCATGAAAGAATTTGAAATTCTTAATTTAAACCATATTCGTAAATTAAACACCATTAAATTTTTGTTGTCAGATTATTTAGCGGATAGATTTGGTCTGATTGATTGCCATTGCATATGTACTGACCTTTTTAAGAATGGCCAGAATATTAATATGTTCTCCATTGAGAGCCTGACCATTGGCCACTATGTCTTCCAGACTGTAGTAATCATTGCTGGCTTTTGTGGGGAGGTGAAGTAGGGCCTGATAATCCTCCACATCATACCCTGTGTAAGCTGTGATGGTGGAATAGTTCTCACTCAGGGAAAAGCTAAATGGCCTTCAAACAAAACGAAATAATGATTACCTGAAAATTGATGCTACTTAATGAACAACAATCTAGTTTAAAAAATGGTATGTAATTTAGATAGCGATCACATCTTAAAGCACCCAATGATTGAGTCTCCAGAATCTCTCCATAGCTTATTCAGCATCTGAGACAGAGAAACATCCTGTTTCCTATAAGAGGCCCTGTTGTTCTTTATCATAAGATTAATCACCCTTTGTAAAACTTTGATCACATATTGTGGCACCACCCTTGCTCAAGGGTCATGTAATGAACAAATTTGAATCTACACTACCTGAGGATGCTTCCATATAAATATGACTAATCATGGCTTTGTTTTTCTTGATATAAATATGACTAATCATGGCTTTGTTTTTCTTGAGTAAAAGGTTTTTCAAAAAATATTCCTATATACTAGTATTCCTATATAAAAAATTGATCGCCCATTGTGACCCCACCCTTGATGGTTTGAAAAAAAAAATTGAATTTACACTACCTGAGAATGCTTCCATAGAAACATAACTTATGAGGGCTTTGCTGATCTTAAAGAGATAGTTTTAAAAGATTTTTCCTATATATTCCTATGTAAAACTTAGATTGCCCATTGTGGCCCCAACCTTACTCCAGGGATGATGATTTGAACAAATTTGAATCTGCACTACTTGAGAATGCTTCCATAGAAATGACTAATCGTTTCTGTACTACTCTTGAAAAGAAGATTTTTAAAGATTCTTCCGCCTAATGTGGCCCCATCCTATCCCTTGGGGTCATTATTTGAACAAACTTAAATCTACACTACCTGAGGATGTTGCAATATAAAAATGACTAACCATGGCTTTGCTGTTCTTGAGAAGAAAATTTTTAAAGATTTTTTTCTATGTATTCCTATGTAAAACTTTGATTGCCCAATGTGGCCCCACCCTAACCCCAGGGGGTCATGATTTGAAGATACTTGAACTTTTCTGACCCAGTTCTTCTTGAGAAGGAAAGTTTTGAAACTTGAAACTTGAAACTTTTATTTTCACTAAAGCCCCCACATGGGGTATGTTAGTACAATAAGAGTTTAACAATTGAACAAATCAACATGTGAACAGTTAACATAATGAACCACAAAAAGAACTTTGATATGGACAGTACTGACGGTTGTATAAAAAAAAAATCGTTTAATGTTTACATTGTAGGAAGTTCAGGCATGAAATAATTTAAGAACAGTTTTACAAAACTTAGCTAAACCTATTAGTTCATATATATCAGAAGTATTCATCAAATTATAAAAAGATATTGTGTTTGGATTTGTGTAAATATTGCTAGGTATAAATTTCTGTCTTTCATTCTTAAAAAAAGGACACTTAAATAAATAATGAAACTCATCACCAAGTTCATTGTTATTGCAGAGGTTACAATGTCTCTCAGATCTATCAATACTATAAAATCTACCAGCTTCAATTGGCAAGTTATGACTGACACAACGAAATTTACATAAATATAATCTAAGATCATTTGGTAACATGTTTAGATAATTTTCAAAACCAAAATCACACTTGTACATTCTATAATTAAGGCATTTTGGAGAATTTAATACATTTACATTCCAGTCTTGGATAAAACTATTTCTTAATGTATTCTTAACCAACACACCAATTTTGCATGATTTATCAACAAACTGAGCATTCCATATTAGATCCAAATTACAATCATGTAAAATATTCTTAATTTCCATGAGCCATTTTGAATGGTAAAAACCTTTTGAGCTAAATTGATACAAAATTGAGTACAATGTGAAGGAAATTTTCTCATTTTTACCACACAAAATCCTTTGCCAGAAACCAGCCATTCTAGACTTTACTAATATACTAAGTGGTATTCTACCCAGCTCTCCATAAACAATACAATGAGGAGTAGTTTTTTTTAACTTTCAAAATTTTTTTTTACAAAATTCCATATGAAAGGATTCTAAAATGCTGCAGTTTTCAAAACCCCATACTTCTACACCATACAACAAAATAGGTACAACCATGGTGTCAAAAAGTTGCAGTTGCATATCAATAGGTAAATTTAATTTCCTGGATTTTTTAAGAACAATATACATAGCTTTTCTGGCTTGTTGTACCAGATGTGACTTTGCGTCATTAAAAGTACCTTTACTAGAAAAAATTATTCCAAGATATTGAAAGTTTCTAACAATTTCTAGTCTATCACCATTATAAGTAAAATGTAAATTATCAGTGTTCATGTTAGAGCGAGAAAAAATAACAACTTTTGTTTTAAGAGAATTAACTTGCATCTTCCAAGTTTGACAGTACAAGTACATTGCATTTAAAGAAGCTTGCAGTTCAGCAGCTGACTCTGCTAAAATAACTGTATCATCAGCATACAACAACAAATACAAACGTAAATAAACAGTTATCTCGTCAGTATCTAATAAGTGAGCTGCCGTGTTCATATCTACAAGACCATTATAGGCATGTGACATAAATTCAACCAAATCATTAAGGAAAATGGCAAACAGAACAGGTGATAAATTTTCACCTTGACGTACACCAATATTTGAAATAAAAAAATTGGAACAAGAACTGCCTTGCCTTACACAAGACTTTGCATTACTGTATATATTTTGTATTATTTTTAACATATTTCCATCTATAGAATGTTTCAACATTTTTTGCCATAAATAAGCCCTTCGTACAGTGTCAAATTTGAAAGATGACATTAAATTGTCACTAATTCTGAATTATCTCCCCTTGAAAGAGAACATGGCCCTTCATTTCAACAAATTTAAATCCCCTTCGCCAAAGAATGCTTTGTGGCAAGTTTTGTTGAAATTAGCTCAGTTGTTCTTGAGGAGTCAAAAATGTGAAAAGTATACAGACAGACAGATAGACATCAGACACCCTTTGATCAGAAAAACTCAAATGAGCCAAAAACTTTTGTTGTTTTCTTTTTTTTTTTAAGATATACAATAATCTTACAGTGGTGTACAAGGTCTGAATTTCTCCTCACTTCCATCTGTAGGTTTCAGTAACACTTGAAAGTTGGACAGTTGAACTACAAAAAGATTCAAGTTATATACATAACCTCTGCAATGGAGAATACTGCCAGTGTCTTATATCAATCTTATATCAATAAAACAGCCTCATTCCAAGCTTACGAAATATTCAGATTTTAACATAGAATGTCCTATTGAAGGTTAATTAAATTCACAATTATTGATTGAACCAAAATCTATTGAATAATCCATATTTACATGTACACGTATTTATCTACTCATTAAACAACCAAATATAGTATTCTTAAGGCAGAATTAGTGCATAACAATCAACAGTATCCTACCAATATCACCAGTGTGATAACAGTTTGATATCCCTGCTATAAATGTTTCTGATCCCCAGCATGTGACAGATACAAATCCCATCGGAGAATCCCTTATAACAAAGCTCACCAGGTGGCGCTCTGTTCCTGGGTCTGAAATATTTTAAATAAATATTAAATATTTACTATTTAATATGAACAAGAAATGTCCTCAAAACTTTTTTCTCTAAGATTTACCCTACTAAGAATACTAATATTTTGGACAATGCCCCACAAAGAAATCACTCTATTACAAGGATCATGTTTTACTATCTATCAATGAAAAAAATGGCAATAACAAGTTTTACACAGAGGTCAAAATTAAAAAGAAAGAAATGAAAACATGTCATGTCACATATACTGATTTATAAACTAAGAAGGAAATGTAGCTGCAGAACTGTAGCATTATGGTTTTATATTTTAGTCTTTGACCATAACGCTACAGATCCCGTAATATAAATAAAGTGCAATTTACGGTTCAAGATTTTCTGCACACTTCTGTGAATTTGTTGTCGGATAAAATTCACAACAAGCGAGTTTATTGGTCTGTAGAGACGACTACTATAAATGGTTGGGAGCTGTATAAAATATACAGGTTGGTTAGAGAATATGTCTAGAATTAGGGGATGAAAGGTCATTGATTGACCAAAGCTGGAAAGTGGCGAAATACATCCCCAAATTGCACTTTATTTACATTACGGGATCTGTAGCCTTATGGTCAAAGACTAAAATATAAAACCATAACACTACAGTTCTGCAGTTATAGGAAATGCATACTTACTTTTCCTTGAGATAATAGACTTTGGCGACTCTTTCGCAATTATAACTCCGACAACACTCTGAAATCAAATAAATTACATGTATTCACTTCTAGAGCATTTCACTGCATGGTCACAACAACTTTAACTTAAGAATGTCTAGAGTTCAATACTTATACATAACATTCTTTTATTAAAACATTTCAGTGGAACAGGCAAGGAATTCAAAACCTTTTAGAATATGTATTAGATATGCATATATATGTTATCAAATGTTATTCTTTACAATAATTCTTTTGCTGGCCTAGATTTCATGCAGGCAAATCCATTTGCCAGCAGCCAGATAACTCAATTGATAGAGCACATAACGGTATCTATAATTCAGGTTCTGGTCAATCCTAGTCTGGTATGTAGGATTTTCCAAGTTACATTTGGAGCCCCTACCCTAAAAGTATTATATTCCTATGTGATTCCCCATTGTGGCCCATCCCTGGGGGTCATGACTTGTACAGACTTGAATCTACAGTACCTTAAATTGCTTCCATATCAATATGACTTGTTATGGCTTTGTTGTTCTTCTTCAGCAGATTTTTAAGATTCTTACTATATATTCCTAGGTAAAAACTTTGATCCCCCATTGTGGCCCCACCCAACTCCCAGGGGTCATGATTTGAACAAACTTTAATCTACACTATGTAATTAATCATAATGAATTCAGCTTTCACATAAGTTTCATTTTTTTTTTTGGCCCAGTGGCTCTGAGAAGATTAGACTTGTAAACCAGAAGTCTCTGACGAGACTGTAGCTCTACTGGCTGTACTTATAAAGGAATATAAGTAGCACTTGGACTTGAAACTTTACAACAGCAATAAATAGAATAATGATTCTTGGTTTAGTCTCTTTTTGTGGCAAGATTTATTGCAATCAGACTAAAACTGTAGGAGGAGTAGCCTTTTAAAATAATTTTACAGAAATTTCGATTTAAGTAACCATGGCAACGTCATTCAACAAAATCAAAAAACAATAATAACAATTATGTATCTCAGTGTAGTCCACTTGTGTGCCAAGTTATACTAAAATCAGACCAAAACTGTAGGAGGAGTAGCACATTGAAAGTATTTCAAGGAAATTTCTATTTTTAGTAACCATGGCAACATCTTTCATCGAAATCAAATTCCGATATATAGAATTATGTATTTAAGTGTAGTCTACTTGTGTTCCACTGGCCAGGTTATACTGAAATCGGACCAAAACTGTAGGAGGAGTAGCACTTGGAAAGTATTTTACAGAAATTTCTATTTTTAGTAACCATGGCAATACCGTTCATTGAAATCAAAAATCGATAAATAAAATTATGTATCTTATTATAGTCTACTTGTGTGCCAAGTTATATTGAAATCAGATCAAAACTGTAGGAGGAGTAGCAATTTGAAAGTTTTTCACAGAAATTTCTATTTTTGGTAACCATGGCAACACCGTTCATTGAAATCAAAAACTGATAAAAAGAATTATGTATCTTAGTATAGTCTACTTGTGTGCCAAGTTATACTGATATCAGACTAAAACTGTAGGAGGAGTAGCATTTTGAAAGTATCTCCCAGAAATCTCTATTTTTAGTAACCATGGCAACACCTTTCAGTGACATAAAAAAACCGATTTACAGAATTATGTATCTTAGAATAGTCTACTTGTGTGCCAAGTTATATTGAAATCAGACCAAAACTGTAGAAGGAGTAGCGTTTTGAAAAATTGTTTACAGACGGACAGACAGACAGGCAGACGATGGACACCTTACTGTCGCATAAGCTGTTCTGTGGTCTCTGACCAGTAGAGCTAAAAATGCCACCAAATTTTCACTAATTCTTAATTATATCCCCTTAAAAGAGGACGTAGCACTTTATTTGAACAAATTTGAATCAAGAGTGCTTTGTGGCAAGTTTACTTGAAATTAGCCCAGTCCTGGTGATTCTGAAGAAGTCAATAGTGTGAAAAGTTCAGATGGATGGACAAAAGGTTATCAGAAAAGCTCACTTAAGCTTTCAGCTCAGGTGACCTAAATATTATATTATATAATGCTTGCACATATAGTGACATAAATAGCTGCAGATATATATAGGCAAGCTCTCTGGGACAGAACATTTGGAAAGCCCAGTTTGTCCGAATTTTTTGTCCAAGGCCAGAGAGCCACAGTTCTGCATGCAGCTATGATGACAACAGACATAGTTAGAGATTTAATCATGCAGGATGCTCAATTAAAATTTAAAAGTTAACATTTGATATAAAAATTTTTTACAATGTTTGATGAAGACTGATTGACATCTTCAATTTTCACAATGTTTCCGACTTGCTGTTGTTTAACATTGAATTGGTTGTTGTTTCCTGCTATACTCCGCTCCTGTTGTTGGAACTTATTTCCTCTTGTAACAGAAGATGTATTTTTAAATTGCTGGAAATCGGATCCTGAGTGACCTGACCATGCCATGCTTGTTCAGTCGCGTCGTCTGCTGTTGAGTGACAAAAGCAGGACACGTGGGGGCTATGTTTTTTTTCGCAGCAAATACCCAGAAATTTGACGTATTTCTGCAGAAAATTCAATAAAATCCTCATTTTGTATTTTATTCGATCTAATAGTGACACTGTCACTTCAAAAGCACCGCCAATGGTAAGTTTATGTATATTTAGAAATCACGTGTGTTTACATCTTGATACAAGCGGACTCATGTGACCAGCTGGGTCAGCAAAACTCTTTTTGACACGACAAATTTTGCTTGGCAGATTTGCATCATTGTGATCCACAACATCTGAAAATGACGGAAGAAGCTGTCGAAAAGAAAAACTATTATGCTCTTTATTCGTACAGTCCACAAAGGTATTAAACAATTTCAGTCTGGAGGAGGACGGGATGTAGAAAGAGAATATGTACGTCTGTACTCCCTTCTTTTGTCTCCAGATTTAAAAGTGGAAGCAGTGATCATAGTGTTAAACAGCTATTTAGTATCGATAGTAATGCTCATTGGTAAATTTATCTAACTCTATGCACCGAAAACAGTTTTTGAACATTTAGGCATTGATGTCACCAAAGGAGTAGTACATGTTTTCTTTGATACATATGTACCTCTATCAAAGGAAAAAAAGGATAAGATTCTGTGTATTAGGCCTAAAGATATAAGAAATGAATGCAATATTTTTTTCTCTGACCGAAATATCATAAAAAAATTTGGACGGAGAACGTCATCTATGCAAGTAGCACATTGATGAAAAAGTTTTCATCCAAAGTTTTCTTTGATACTTCAGCAACAGACTCTTCCAGATTGCTGTAACATGCTGTAAAATCTGGAAGAGTCTGTTGCCGACTGTTTAACATGGAAAGAATTCCTTCCTGGCTCAGTGTCGTTTTTCTCATGCATTCGATCATTTTCTAAGAATTAACAGATTAGATGGCATTTCCCTGCTTTGGTAGCTTAAAAACATTCCTTTACAGTTCTATTATTTATACCAGTTATCTCAAAGACAAACATTTAATATACGGGTTGTATGTTCGTTCGCCCTAAAGTGGGTTCGCCCTTGACGCCGTTCACCCTAATTCTCGTTTGCTCTAAAACTTGTTCGCCCAAAGTCTGTTCATCCTTTATATGTTAGTCGGTTAATTTTTTGTAATTTCCTTTGATTTGATTGAATTTCATGATTTTTTCTGTTTAGATTACAATTTATTATATCCCCAATACTTGAACTTTCAGTACAGATGAAGAAATAAAAAGAAACTCTTAAGTAATAGATGTGATACTCGTTAATTTATTAGTAATGTTTTATAACATTATATTAAGTTGAGAATAAAAGATAAATAATAAACCTGTTGCTCCGATGCTGCTCATCCCCAGTTAAAATGGCCTATCAACATGATTAACGTCACTCTAAATTTCCTTTATTATTTTCAAACAACATTTAATACAAATCTTAAATAACAAAACAAAACAATGAAAGTATTCCCTAATTTTCTGTACTAAATTAACAGCAATTAAACTGATTACTTCTTTGATGAGCATCAAAATCGGAAATGAAGTCAATACTGATGGAAAGGAAATATATTAAATATATTACTAGTTCTATCTAATAAAAAAAAATCCACAATAATGATGACATAAAATATCACTAATAGGGCGAACTGGATATATGGCGAACAGGGTGTAGGGCGAACGAGAATTATAGCGAACGGACCCTGCACGAATGGACTCATGTGAACAGGTAGATAGGGTGAACGGACTCAATACCTAATATATGTATGATGATTTCTTTCCTTCTTTCCAGCAACTGCATTGTTGTCATTGCAGACAATCTTATTTGTTTAGCTATAGCAAAGGGAGATAATTTGAAAAGAAACAAAAGTAGACAGAAGTTTGAAATTCAGGAAAATAGAGTAAAAGTATTTCATTTTTCATTACAAAGTAATCTGGAAGCGGGAAACATACATGTAAAGTCAGCCAAAGGAGTTCCAGCTGCTAAGTGCAAGTGAACTCCAGATTCTATTGATGCAGTTATCAAAAGATTTTTTTATCCAATCAGAATCAATTATTTTATAGAAATTAAATGATATTCAGATACATTGATGTCTCATGATATGATGGTGCAAGGTTCTATAGTTTGTTCATTGATGTATACAAGGAGTCATTATATGCAATAAAAATGTTATTTTACTAGTGAAGTTGATAGATATTTCAAGATTTAAAGTTTACTTTCTCCAAGTTTTACTTACCCACTACTAGTAGGCTTTAATCTTGCTGGTTCAAAATTTGCCATATTATGCCAGTAATGTTTGCCTTATGGGGATTTCATATTTAAAAAATTAAGATTTGAAGTATTTCCTATTGCCTTTAAAAAAACCCCAACCCTTCATGACATTTTTTGAAAAAACATTTAGTTAAAGGAAAGGTCAAAGTTGTGAGGAGGTTGTGATGTAAATTCTCTACAAGGATGTATTTGTGTACTTATGTTGATAAATTATTTATGGGATTCACTTTTTCAGGGAATTTGGGTAATAGTTAGGCTAAAGGCAGAATCAGTAATGAAAATGATGATTAATATGGTTTTCATTTTATTTTGTAGCATTCCAGATAATAGTGGGGATAATCAGCAAACAACTGAAAATTTAGGATTTAGGTATGATGACATCAATTCACTATACATTGCACTAATTTCTATATATATGCACATGATATTAATAAGCCACAAGTTTTAAACTTGCAAACAAAAGAACGTAGTTTATTTTATGCAAAGAATAAAATGATTCTGGAGCTGTCTTGTTTAATCTCTAAAAGGATCAGAAATCTTGCAAGCCTCACCTTTGAACAAAGGTATTAATTTTGAGGTAGGGTAATGCTACTTTTATGAGTTTGATTTAAGTCTTTTGTGAACCATTAGTGATTATTCTTTGTCCTACCCCCTATCCCCCCTCCTCCCCCCCCCCCAACCCATCCCCCCATCCCCCAAAAAAATCTTTAACCTATAAACAATAGGAGTTCCTTGCATTAAAGCTAAGTCAATACATTTTTGGTGTTGTGCTAGTTGAGCCCTACCTTTTAGTGACTTGTGGCAAATTATTCATATGGCCTGTCCTTCTTAACAAAAGCAAGGTTATCAGATTATTCAGCAATACTTGGACCATGTTAAAGATTTTTTAGCATTCAAGCTAAAAAAAAAAACCCAGACATACTTATTTCAAAATAATAACAACTACTATATTAAGTTAAAAACAAAAAATTGCTAGCACTTCAGAAGATTGTTAATAACTATGTGTATCAATGAAGATTTTATGTGCATCTCAAAATTTTGTTTTTTTTAAAGCCAGTCTTATTATTTTTTATAAATGCTTGTTCTTTTAGTGTGTCTCATGTTCTGAGTGACCTGCCAGAATCCTTAGAAGCTGACCTCTCCCAGTTCCTGTTCAGTAAGATCTCTAAGGGTCTAATCTACAATGATTCAGGCAGCATCGCTTCCTTTGTTTACAGGTTTGTTTTATTATCAGGAGGTCAATACAGTAAAACATGCTTATAGTGAACACGCTTATAATGAATTGATGCTTATAGCGAAGTGATTTTCATTTCCCATTACTTTAAAATAAATTGTAAACTTACTGGATATAACAAACTACGTTTATAATGAAGCAAAACCGCCAGTCCCTGGCACTTTGTTATAAGCATGTTTTACTGTATTCTGTAGATTCCTTATTACTCACAGAGGTTACTTTTTAGCTCACCTCAACGAAGTTGGGGGAGCTTATGTAATACCCTCGGCGTCAGCGTCGGCGTCCCAGGTTAAGGTTTTTGGAGCAGTTTTCTTTTCAAGTACTTCTATGGCTTATATTAGTCAGAGATGCATGGAGGATGCTTCTAGTGTGTTTTATTGTACCAGTCAAGGTTTCAGATGCTGCAACTTCAGCTAAAGAATGACCAGGTTAATGTTTTTGGAGCAGGTTAAAGTTTTTGGAGCAGGTTAAAGTTTGTGGAGCAGGTCTCATTTCCAAGTAACTATAAGCCCTATATTGACCAAACTTGCATGGATGATACATCTAAGGATGCACACTACTGAACTTGCTTCGGATGCTGGATCTGACCTACATTTTCCGGATGAGTGACTAGGTTAAAGTTTTTGGAGTAGATCTCATTTCCAAGTAACTATAAGCCCTATATTGACTAAACTTGCGTGGATGATACATCTAAGGATGCACACTACTGGACTTGCTTCGGATGCTGGATCTGACCTATATTTTCCGGGTGAGTGACCAGGTTAAAGTTTTTGGAGCAGATCTCATTTCCAAGTAACTATAAACCCTATATTGACCAAACTTGCATGGATGATACATCTAAGGATGCACACTACTGAACTTGCTTCAGATGCTGGATCTGACCTATATTTTATGGATGAGTGACCAGGTTAAAGTTTTTGGAGCAGATTTCATTTCCAAGTAACTATAAGCCCTATATTGACTAAACTTGCATGGATGATACATCTAAGGATGCACACTACTGGACTTGCTTCAGATGCTGGATCTGACCTGTATTTTCCGGATGAGTGACCAGGTTAAGGTTTTTGGAGCAGATCTCATTTCCAAGTAACTATAAGCCCTATATTGACCAAACTTGCATGGATGATACATCTAAGGATGCACACTACTGGACTTGCTTTGGATGCTGAATCTGACCTATATTTTATGGATGAGTGACTAGGTTAAAGTTTTTGGAGCAGATGTCATTTCCAAGTATCTATCAACCCTATATTGACCAAACTTGCATGGATGATACATCTAAGGATGTACACTACTGGACTTGCTTCAGATGCTGGATCTGACCTACATTTTCCGGATGAGTAACCAGGTTAAAGTTTTTGGAGCAGATCTCATTTCCAAGTAACTATAAGCCCTATATTGACCAAACTTGCATGGATGATACATCTAAGGATGCACACTACTGGACTTGCTTCAGATGCTGGATCTGACCTAAATTTTTGGGATGAGTGACCAGGTTAAAGTTTTTGGAGCAGATCTCATTTCCAAGTAACTATAAGCCCTATATTGACTAAACTTGCATGGATGATACATCTAAGGATGCACACTACTGGACTTGCTTCGGATGCTGGATCTGACCTACATTTTGCAGATGAGTGACCAGGTTAAAGTTTTTGGAGCAGATCTCATTTCCAAGTAACTATAAGCCCTATATTGACTAAACTTGCATGGATGATACATCTAAGGATGCACACTACTGGACTTGCTTCGGATGCTGGATCTGACCTACATTTTGCAGATGAGTGACCAGGTTAAAGTTTTTGGAGCAGATCTCATTTCCAAGTAACTATAAGCCCTATCTGAACCAAACTTGCATTGATGATGTATCAAGGGACGGACAATCTCAAAACTTGCTTCGGATGCTGGATTTGACTTACATTTTCTGGATGAGTGACTAGTTTAAAGTTTTCAGATAAGTCCATTCCCAAGTAACTGCAAGCCCTATCAGACCAAAATTGCATAAATGTTGCATCTAGGGATGCACACTCCTAGATTATTAGTTTAGTGTGGGACTTTGCCTTACTTAAAGACAACATTCGTTGAGGTGAGCTCTGTAATCTCTGATTTCCTATGTTTGTATATACTCTTGAGAGCAGTGTTTCATGAAATCATATATTATAAATCATATACTTGTGTATCATTTCTGAGTGTATACTGGGGGAAAACTTCTACATGTAATAGCAAAGTACACCGTTTTCAAAAGAAAAGTTTCTGAGAGTAGCCATGTTTTGATTATTTGTTACAGTGAGGGTGACCTACAAAGAGAGATGTCCTGTTATTTCTGCATGCTGAGTGGAGCAGACACTGCTAATGTTGATATCAACCTTGGAAGGGGGGACTGTGGCAAAGACTCAAGAACCAAGTCACATGTTGTCTGCTTCCTCACTCTTCATGACAACATGCTAGATCAATATCCTATGAATTAACTGCTTCTAATTACAAAAATCCATTACTGTTTTACTGTTAATAATTCTCACAATGTCAGGGGTCCTGAGTCAACACATTGCCTTTGGACCCCTGAAAAATTTCATTCGATATCTTGCGGGCTGACAGCAGCGACGTCTTTCAGGAAAATTACAAATTTTGATTGTTTTTCTTATCTCTAAACCAATCACAATAAGGAGGGATTCCTCTTATATTTCCGGTATTTATAAATCAATGAAATTTTCACAGAATCAAGAAGACAATGTCACTAAGTGATGGTATCAGTCAGATTAAATTTGACCGTTTTATATTAGAGGCAAGGTCAGGTCAAGGTCATTACCTTTTCCCTGGACATTAAGAATAAAAAATTACTGTTGCCAATCATGCGATGCCTACTTCTATTTCAAGAGATTAAATGTTTTCCTTTTTGCATAAAGAGATATTACCATATAGGGTCTATATAATGATATCACCAAATTGACATAAATAATTCAACTAAAATGGATATTGGCTAATCCAAATTTTCTCTATTTTTCTAAACTTTTTAGGATATTTTAGTTATTTTTATATGCTTCCTATATTTAAAATTTTCTTATTTTCATATATTGTAAAGTTGTCACATAAAGATACAAAATGAAATAAAAACAAAAAGATTTGATCGTTTACTAAGAGGAAAAAGACACTTCTTACGGATTTTTGGCTCAAATCTGTACTTAGATTGGAAGCTTTAAAAAGGTAACATAATTGTAGTTTGTTTGGAAAACCATATTTATTTGATATATTTTAAAACTTTAGTCCCTTATTATTAATTTAACTTACATTTAAAAATTTCTTCAAGTCCTTGATTGTGTAAAAATTATAACTAAATTCATTGTTCTATAATAATTTTGAGAGGCAGAAAAGAATTATTTTCATACGCCGCTATAGTCCCTGCTAGATTTCAAACTCAGTTTACCATTTCTATTTAAAGTTGTACAATTGTGATGAGGAAAGAAAAATATGATCTTTTAAATCTTTTACATCTAAATATATAAAATATATAAGCAAATATACTTTGAATATTTCATCTAGTCAGAAACCAGACAAGAATCCCTCCTTAAGCCTTTCGGTGATAAACAATGCGTAATATGTGCATTTTAGGTGTCAACTGATTCCTCTCTGTTTACATTATCTGTCTACTTCGATTTGATTGATACTTTCAATGAGAGAAGGAAGCCTGAAGATATCAAATGAAATTTGTCAGGGGTCCAACAACAACGTGTTGACTCATGACCCCAGACGTTGTGTCTGTTAATAGAAAATCAATTTTGAATTAGATAATATTTAAGTCCTTAACACAGTACTTTCAGACATGAATTGGATATGTATGCTTTAGGGCTCTTTAAATTCTTAGAACAAGAAGTGAGTAAATACACTGTATCTATATGAATATGTATTTTTAGCTCTTCTGAGCCAAAGGCTCAAAGAGCTAATGCTATGGCCATTTGTGCGGTGTGCGGTGTGCGTAAACTTTTTAGAATATGGGCCATAACTCAAGAACCCCTTGGCCAATTATTGTCAAATTTGTCACAGGGTATCCTTGGCCCAAGGGCTCCCTTTTATACTAAAACTGGAGTTGTGACCCTTTAACAAGGGGAGATAATTAGGAAAATAGAAACAAAAGTACTGGTTGCTAAAAAATCTTCTTCTCAAGAACCACTGGGCAGATTATCACCAAACTTACACAAAAGGATGAGGATATGTTGTAGATTAAAATTTGCACAGGGATTTACCCTGGGGCAAAGGGCGTGGTCTCAAGGTCACTTCAAAGTTGACCAAAAATTACATTTTATTAAAATGTTGATATTTTGCTTACTATAAGGACTAGGATCATCAAATCTTGTCAGTTGGTGCATCTAAGGACCTCATATGATGTTGACTCAAAAGTAGGTCACGGTGACCTACTTTTTAAATTTTGTGGCCATTCTTTTTCAAAATGATTTAGAGGCATATTTTGAACAATTTAAGGCCTATGATCATCAAACTTTGTCAGTTGATGCATCTTGGGTCCTCAAAGTACGTCAACTAAAAAGTAGGTCACCTTGACCTACTTTTTGAATTTTATGGCTAATCTTTTTTAAAACAATTAAGGTCATTAATTCGAATACGGGGAGGCTTAGAATCATTAAATCTTGTAAGATGATGCATCTTGGGGCCATAAAACATATTTATTAAAAAGTAGGTCACAGTGACCTACTTTTTGAACTTTGCAGGCATTCGATTTCAAAGCGTTTTAGAGGCATAATTTGGACATTTTAAGTCCTATGATCATAAAACTTTGTAAGTTGATGCATCTTGGGTCCTCAAAAAAGGTCAACTGAAAAGTAGGTCACCGTGACCTACTTTTCAATTTATATGACTATAATTAAATATTTCAGGTACTAATTGGCTTAGAATCATCAAACTTTGTCAGTTGATGCATCTTGGGTCTTCGGAGTAGGTCGACTAAAAAGTAGGTCACAGTGACCTACTTTTGAAAATTTATGGTGTTAATTAAATATTTCGGGTACTAATTGGCTTAGAATCATCAAACTTTGTCAGTTGATGCATCTTGGATCTTCAGAGTAGATCGACTAAAAAGTAGGTCATGGTGACCTACTTTTGAAAATTTATGGCTTTAATTAAATATTTCGGGTACTAATTGGCTTAGAATCATCAAACTTTGTCAGTTGATGCGTCATGGGTCTTCGGAGTAGGTCGACTAAAAAGTAGGTCACCGTGACCTACTTTCGGAAAATTTATGGCTTTAATAAAATATTTTGGGTACTAATTGGCTTAGAATCATAAAACTTTGTCAGTTTAGGCGTCATGGGTCCTCGGAGTACAACAACTGAAAAGTAGGTCACGGTGACCTACTTTTGAAAATTTATGGCTTTAATCAAATATTTCGGGTACTAATTGGCTTAGAATCATTAAACTTTGTCAGTTGATGCGTCTTGGGTCCTCGGAGTACAACAACTGAAAAGTAGGTCACGGTGACCTACTTTTGAAATTTTATGGATGTATTTAATATTTTCAGGAATTATTTGGCTTAGAATCGTCAAAATTTGTCAGTTGATGCATCTTTGGTCCTCGGAGTAGGTTGACTGAAAAGTAGGTCACCGTGACCTACTTTTGAAAATTTATGGCTGTAATTAAATATTTTGGGTACTTATTGGCTAGAATCATCAAACTTTGTCAGTTGATGTATATTTGGTCCTCGGAGTACAGCAACTGAAAAGTAGGTCACGGTGACCTACTTTTGAAAATTTATGGCTTTAATTAAATATTACAGGTACTAATTGGCTTAGAATCATCAAACTTTGTCAGTTGATGCATCTTGGGTCCTTGGAGTAAAACAATTGAAAAGTAGGTCACTTTGACCTACTTATAAAATTTTATGATTATAATTTTAAAAAATATTTTAGGTATTAATTGGCTTAGAATCATCAAACTTAGTTGATGGGTCCTCAGAGAATGACAAGTGATAAGTAGGTCACCATGACCAACTCTCAGGTACTAATTGGCTTAGAATCATCTTGGGTTCTCAGAGTGTGAATTGGAATTTCAAGGGTTTATGTAAATATACAGGATACTTCGAGGCTTCAAATAGAAGTGATAGGTTGTACAGTTTATCAGAAGAGCGATTCAAGGCCCATGGGCCTCTTGTTAATAATTTTGACGTTAATTCAATAGTAGCACAATTGTAGAAAAATGCATTTGATAGATATCATTACAAGCATGTTGTAAAGTCAGTATCATGGTACATATTTATCCAGAATGAAGCCCAGGTGAAGATTTACCTGGAGAAATGGTCGTACGAGACAACCGAGTACCTCTGTAGAACTCTGTCATCTGTTGGTCAGGACATCAAGTACCTCATGTATGCTGTGAGTATACTGTATCTCTCATTTCTGATTGAATAATACACTGTAAAAATAAAAATGATGCCATAAATTATACAATGAAAGTATTAAGCATGAGAGTTCTATTGTAACCATTAGCCATGATGTAAGTTATAGTGTGTAGATGTGTTTTTTGTAACCCTCATAACTGGGACTTATGTATGAATTTTGAATATATATTTTTACTCAGACAATACATGTTCTTTTCCTGAGCTAATATTTGTTTGTCATAATTGGATCAACTTCAGATATTAACTATTCTACTCTAGACATTTAATAGAAGTTTTAACTTTGTATTTGTTGTTTCTACAGGCACTGATGGATGCTCAGGTTGTATTTGATGGAGTGGAGAACAGTATACAGCAGGATTTACTCAAGTAATTTGTCTTACGGCTCTTTCATTATTTTATTGCTAAAATGGTTTCACACATCATGAGATGTGTAATAATGGTGACTCTAAAGTATTATAGTCTAAGAAAAGAAATTTCCCCTGATATGCCTTAAGTGTGCAGTGACTTTTGTAGGTTTGTTAAGTCGTGTAGCTTAGGGGATATGCTGCGACAGACGGGAAGCCCTCTTTCTGGGAGCCTGGACATGTTAGCAGATCTCAATGTTCAAAGCACAGATGACAAAAGGACAACAATTCAGATAAAAGCTGTTGATGGCAGTCTCAAATTCTCACCAGAATGTAAGTAAAGCCTTGTATCATAAAATGAAAAAAATCAGATCAGTTGGGGCTACATGTATTTAATTATATCTTTACTCGAGGAATAGTATTTGTTTTACCCTGAATTCTAATTGAATGTTTTTATATTTCTTGTTTGACCATTTCTGGTACAGAAATGTTTAAGCCCACTGGATATACAGTCAGAACTTATTATCTTGAACTTGATGGGTCAGAGAAAAAACTTTGAGATATTGAGGGTAAAATACTAAAAGAAAGAGTGATTGGGACTTCCAAATCACTTTGACACATACATGGTATTCGAGATATTGGTGTTTGAGATACTGAAGTTCAGCTGTACTTAGGCCACAATTTTTTTCTTTTCTTGGAGTGAATTTTTTTTTTTACTCAAACAAAAGTGGATTGGATGAAATAAAAATAAAATGAAGATTCTTGATAGGCCAAACCTATCATTTTTTTTTTTTGTTAATGTTTCATCATCATCATCATAGTTTTAATAGAAAAAATAAATACATACAGCATGTTACTTAAATCAGATCACAAATATGGCATATCAAAGTCACTGACAACTGTACCTTGATCTTATTTTTTTTTTATTTTTACATTTATTTACTTATTTTGTTTATATGACTTGTTTAATAAATACGAATTAAGGATATACAATTTTGCAAAATGAATTACCAAATACAAAGCAGTAATATTTCATTTTCAGTTTTGGTTTGATGTGTTGAATAGAATTGGCAAGATCAAAAAATGCGAAATTTGCATTTTATTTTTTTCATGGTAATCCAAGAAATCAAAAAATGTTGCATTATCTGTAGGCAGGGCAGTACAGTAATACACACTTATAGTGAACATGCTTACAACGAATCGATGCTTATAGCGAAAGGATTTTTATTGCCCTTTACTTCAAAATAAATTGAAGACTTGACGGATATAATGAATTACACTTATAACAAAGCAAAATTGTCTGTCCCTGGCACTTTGTTATAAGTGTGTTTTACTGCATATGCATGTCATGAGAACATGTCTGTTTATTTTTACTATACTAAACTTTTTATATAAAGCATGCCATTATAAATGCCATGTGACATCCTTTAAATCCAGATGGGGGGGGGGGGGGGGGTTAAAGGGAGACATAAATTTTAGAGTTTTAAAATCCTTTAAAATGCAAACATACATGTAAATATGTTTTAATTCCTGAAAGGAACTGTGGTAAAATGTACAAAACTTATAGAAACATCTTCTAAATTTTCAAGTTTGTTTTTCAGATTGTACAAGGTTCTGTGAAGACTGGAGTCATTCTGTAAATAGTTCAAAAACTGAGAACCCAGGGCTGATCAGACAGGTCATAGAGGCAGGTAAACTAAAGGTAAGTCATCAGGACTGATCAGACAGGTGTTAAATACAGGTAATCTAAAGGTAAGTCATCAGGACTGATTAGATATGTGATAGATATGGGTAAAATAAAGATAAATAGTCATCAGAACTGGTCAGACAGGTAACTAAAGGTAAGTCATCAGGACTGATTAGACAGCTGTGAAGTAGAGGTAAATTAAAGGTTAGTCATCAGGACTGATTAGACAGGTGTAAAATACAAGCAAATCAAATTAAGTCATCAGGACTGATCAGACAGGTGTAAAATACAGGTAAATTAAAAGTAAGTCATCAAGACTGATCACACAGATATACAATGCAGGTAAAACTAAAGGTAAGTCATCAGGACTGATAACACAGGTAATAAATACAGGCTTCTTCTGTTAGTCATTGTCACTTCTTTAAAATATGGGGTAACTAAAGAAACATCTTATTCAGGAGTATCAGAGATGAATGCAAACCTAACGCTATTGTTAACTGTGTGGGAGTGGGGATAAGGTTATTGAGGCAGTATACAGGGTTTTCAGTCACATACATTTTTTATGATAGATGGTTCTCTCTTGTTTTTTCATAACATATTGAAAGATCTTTTTCACAATGTATCTATATATTTCAGTACACTCAGAGTATAAACACCATGAAAAGATTGATGATGCAAGCAGAAAATGACTTTTATGCACTATACAGGCAAGTGAATAAATCTGAAATATTTAATGCTGTATACAGGGGGACATATGACTATGAACTCATATGTTCATAGTTTATTGTGTTTTATTTGTTTTCCATAGTTTAAGCATTTTATTTTTTGTTTGGAACAAGTTCATCTTTACTTCTTTAGAGCTAGAAGAGTCTATCATTGATAAGAGTAACTTAAGACATTTTTGTTATGTTTACACATTTGTTTTTACAGGGCCTATCTGTTCCTGAAGAACTCTGGGAATTGTGAAATTCTTCTGAATTGTGCTCACCTTGACTCTATGCCAGAGACATACAATGTGTTTAAATGTCTTGAGGAGTTTGTTAGAGAAACTGGTGTGAGGTAGAAATAGTGTTCCTATAAATAAAGATGTACACTATATATGTCTTATTTTATGTCTACACATCTGTAAGGTCCATGTAGGTTATGGTTCCTCATTTCAATTTGCAACTGAACCCACAATTTAAATGTGGGTTTAAAATTAGGAACAGATAGACGCTAGAACAATTATTCTGTTGATCCTAATCATATTATTTTTCTTGCTTTTGGCCAATAAAGCTTCATTTATCAGTTTATGGATCCTCTAAATTGTTGTATTGTACTCAGGTGACCGTTAAGGCCCTCAGGCCTCTTGTGTAACTGTCTTGTTAGTGCATCAAGCTAAAATAGCAATATATTTTTGAAGTACATGTAATATTTTCTGGTGAAAAAGGTTTTATTGTATAAGGGTTTTTGAAAATCAAACTTTGAGGTCTAGCTCATGAAGTCAAAATCATAAAACATTCAGAAAGCTTTTGTCACAGGCAATGCAATTTTGAAACAAGAGGCCAATGGAGCATAGTGCTCACCTGAGTCAATATGGCCCTGTTCTTCTTCCTACATATTCCTGTGTAAAACTTTGATCACCCATTGTGGCCCCATCCTACCCCCAGGGGTCATAATTTGAACAAACTTGAATCTACCTGAGGATGCTTCCATATAATATGACTAATCATGGCATTGCTCCTCTTGAGAACATTTTTAAAGATTTTTGCCTATATATTCCTATGTAAAACTTTGATCACCCAATGCGGTCCCATCCTACCCCTAACAAATTTGAACAAAATAAAATCTACACTATGTAATGAAGGTTTCACTTAAGTTTCAACCTTTTTTGGCCCAATGGCTCTTAAGAAGATTTTTTAAAGATGCCACCAAATTTTCACTAATTCTTAATTATCTCCACTTGAAAGAGGTGTGGTCCTTCATTCAAACAAACTTGAATCCCCTCCACCCAAGTATTCCTTTGTGGCAAGTTTGGTTGAAATTGGTCCAGTGGTTCTGGAGAAGAAGTTGAAAAAGTGAAAAGTTTACAGACAGACAGATAGACAGATGACAAACATGATTAGAAAAACTGACTTGAGCTTTCAGCTCAGGTGAGCTAAAATATATAAAGCCCTGTCTCTTCCTGTGCAAAATTTATGGCCAAAAGTTAAATTTTTTTAAAGTAGGTAAAACTTAAAGGTCAAAGGTTGGAAGTAAAAGATCATAGTATATTCAGAAAGGTCTTTCAACAGGTAACACATGCGTAAAAATATGAAAGCCCTCTCTTCAGGCCAAGGTTAATATTTTTGAAAAGTAGGTCAAATGTCAAATATAGACAAATGAGATTTTATGCCTCTGCAATTTCACAAAAGTGTAAATAAATCTGCTCTAAAAGAAAACCTACTCCAGTTTTCCAATTTCTATTTTTTTAGTGGATTGGACACTCATAGGTGTTGGAATTCACATACAATAAACTCAAAATAGGGCTCTGGGTAACATCAGCAGATCAAATTGTTTTAAAATGGAAACTCTAAGAGACAAGAGGCCCAAAGGCCTTAATGGTTACCTGAGTACAACAATTTAGAGGATCCATAAACTGATAGATGAAGCTTGTGTTGCCCAAAAGCAAGAAAAACAGTATAATTAGGATCAACAAAATAATTAGTCTATTTTCTATCTGTCCCCCATTTATCATTATTACCATGCAGACTATTAACAAAATATTTATTCTTTAACCGTATATTAATTCCTCTCATATTGGCCTTTCTTGGCCTTTGAAGAACTTTAGAAAAAATAAGTTATTTTTGTCTCATTTTTATTCATCTATTATTTCCAAGTCTACCTGATCAATAAAACTATGAAAGTACTATTTGTATTATACAATAAATGTTCTTGCATAATTCTCTTATTCTATTAACCTTTCAAATACATTATTTACAGGGATTAATTATCAAAGGTGAGTGGCAAAGGGGAATAACTTTGCTCAGTAGAATACAAATTAATAGAGCCCTGGCCAGGACCAGAACATTTGTCTAAATGGTCTAGATGTTCAGTAAAAATACCCTTGCTTATTAAAACTTTTATTTTGTTTGCCTCCAATATGTCCAGGAGCAGACAAGATTTTCAAAGAAATAATGCATTTTCACTGCAGATTTAACACAGCCCTTACACCTTGACCCAGGGTCATGAAATTTACAGATTCGAAAGAGGTACCCTCATCATCATAACTATGCAATTAGATGAAGATTTTCAAAGAATTCACACATTTTCACTATATTATCAATAGAGCCCCCCTCCCTCGGAGCAACATGAGAACCCCTGGGACCACAAGGTTTAAAAAATTTGTAAAAGTACCCTTGCCTTGCTCATCATAACTATACACTTGTTTCGTTGCTTTATAACCAGGAGTAGAAAAAATATTTTGAAAGTAATTATGCATTTTCATTATATAATCAATAACCCCCCCCCCCTTTCACCAGAACCCCTGACCCTGGGACCTTGAATTTCACAATTTTGGAAGAGGCATTCTTGCTTATCACAACCATGCATTTCCTTTGTTTAAATAATACCAAGGGGCAGAGAAGAAGATTTTCAAAGAAATAATGCATTTTCACTATATAATCAATACAGCCCCGCCCTAACACCAGAGCCCCTGACCCTGGTTGTATTATACTCAGGTAACCGTCAAGGTCCCTGGGCCTCTTGTCTTGTAAGAAAATTTTACGGGTGTGTTGTTGTCTCCCTCCCATATTTTCCCTGAGTAAAATAATTTATAAAAATTGGGAAAAAAAAAACAAGAAAAAAATATGGTATCAATAGCACAGTTTTTTGTGTTCGATCAAGATGATGGTTGATAGGGCATAAGTCCAGCAGATGCGAAAAAGTCTCGATATGAATGGTTCCCTCTTTTTTATCTTCCTTTTCTTCCCTCCACTCCCTCCTGGGTTAAACAACTATTTAGAACTGTTTATTTGCTCTTCTCCAAACACCAAGAAAATTGATGGTTTTTAATTGATAAACGTTATGTATTTTGCTTTTGTGAAATCATAGTCCACATAAATAGACCTGTCTTCATTTCTGTGAGTAAATTATAATCTCAGAAAAAAAATGTGAGGAAAATACCTAGATCCACCTTTTTTTTGTTTTAAAGTTTACTAACAAAGTTATACACAATGGTGATTTAATAAAGATAGTGCATAAGTCAATAACATATCATCTGATGACATCAACAGCTTGCAGTTGGCAGTGGTAACTAGCAGAGGCAGATAAAAGCTGACATCATCAGCATGTAGTCGGCAATGGTAGCAAGCAGTTGCAGTCAAAAATAGACATCATCAGCCTGTAGTCGGTAGTGGTAGTTAGCAGTGGCAGTCAAAAGGTAGACATCATCATCCTGTAGTCGGTAGTGGTAGTTAGCAGTGGCAGTCAAAAAGTAGACATCATCAGCCTGTAGTCGGTAGTGGTAGCTATAGCTATGGCAGTCAAAAGTAGACACCATCATCCTGTAGTCGGTAGTGGTAGCTAGCAGTGGCAGTCAAAAGTAGACATCATCAGCCTGTAGTTGGAAGTGGAAGCTAGCAGTGACAGTCAAAAGTATAGACATCATCAGCATGTAATCGGTAGCTAGCAGTGGCAGTCAAAAGAAGAGATCTTCAGCACCAACTGTAGATGACAGTGCGTGGTAGTTAACAGTGGCAATCAACAGTTAGCATTGGCACCGTTGCATTAGATGATATGATAATTAAAGGATCGATCCCTATGTTCTTCTCTTTAAGAGCTAAGAGTCTAATTTCTGTTTTTCATGAAAATTGAAGTAAGTTACAAGAGGGATTTTTTTTAATTTCTTGGCCATATTATTTTTTTTTTTGATTCATAGTGAAAAAGATTTTCGCCCTGTTGATTAAAAAGGAAAAAGCTAATTCGGGGAATTAATGTTCCTCGATTAAGGAAAAAATGAGTGGGGGAAATACCTACCAAAATGTAGATGGAGAACAAAAGGATAGATTGTCCTTTACCTTTCACCTCTAGCCCTGAAAGTTCTTACGCTAGAAAGTCATCGCCTTTAGTTTTCTTGCAAACAAGTTATAATCTGGAAACCATTTTATGCAGTAGGTAAACTAATAATCTTTTGCTTTTGCCCTTTAACCTCAAAATCAATTGGGGTCTTCTTTAAGTCATAAGAAGTTATTACTACGATAAAATATCTTTGAAAAAGAAACTGAACTTATTCTCAGGAGACCATTCTTTGTCACATATGAATGTCTGACCTTGACTCTGGTCTTCAAAATCAATAGGGGCCTTCTTAAGACACAGGGAGTTGTATAAAGTTTCAAATGTAAAGGCGTTTTGAGATATAATTACACATCAACAGACGGGCTGATCTAAATTGATACCCCACGCTGTTAGCGAAAGACAAAGACAAAAACCTCAAATATACCTTGTCCTACACTGTTTAAATTTCCTGCTATTTCCATCTGACTTTCTGAGGAAAACAACAATTCGTTTTTTGAATTTTGTTTTTATTGAAAGTGCTTTAAATAGAGAACATTAAGATTTTAAAGAGTTCTACAGAGAATTCCAATGAATTAACTGAAGACATCAAATTCGTCACATTTTCCCGCCATTATTACTTCTGCTTCGGCTGGAATCGTTCGTTATTGGGATTTAATTGGTTGCTATGGTTATCCAGGTCCGATTTAGTTCCGGTTCCGGAATAACCGCTTGTGTGGCCTTTATATTCCTGGTTGTTTGGGTTGCATTGGTTCGACTTATTGTCGTTGTTCGCTTGGCTTTGACCTCGTCCAGACATTGTCAGACAATGTGGATAAACCTGTTATAAAGAAAATTCTGTTATCAGAATAATTTTACCAGCTTTATTGAAATTTAAAATTCTTTAAAGAGAAAACATTTAAGGGACAGGGTTTTTTTCTAATGTAGGTTGAAATACGATCAGTCACACATAAAAGAAGACAAAATACACTGAAATCATCACCTGTACATAACCTTCCCCTATGATTTATAATTTTTTTTAGGATTGAGGAATGAATTTAACCATGAGTAAATATTTCTCTATTAAAATCATGCATTCAGCAGTAAGGTTACCAAGCATAGACAGATTCAGGGGGTCAGGTTCTGCCCCCTTTTCTGCACATGATTTACAGTTTTATTAAATATGGTAAAGTAATTTGGAAAGACTCTGGATTCCTTAGAACTACGAAACAAAGACCTTCTTTGTAGGTAGAAGCTGCTTCTTCTTAAGACTGTCTAACCCCCCCCCCCTTCCCCCGGTTCTTGTTCCGTGTGGCATTTTTCTTGTCAATTTTTTTGGGAGTTAAAAGTATTATAACTCAAGGTGATTTCTCTTTTTACTATAATATGTTTTCTACTTTGTGTTGAATTTCTTCCTTTAAATACATATGTAATTCAAAATTTGCCCTAAGGCATTCTAATTAACGGATGGAATTCATTTTGTCATTTTTTTTTTTTATATTTTCTGTTTAAAAAATATGTACGGTAAGTAGAAATCTTCATCTACCTTATCTCCAAGTTTTTCATCCGTTTTATTTTAAAACAGATTTTCACACACCCCTCCTCCCAATGCAATATTAGTACGTCTAGTTGCAGAACTGTAGCTCTCCGAAAAAAAAATTGACAGACCGGAGAGCTACAGTGCCAACCATAGGAAAAAAAAAACTGTATTTTTATTGCACTCCTAAAGTTGCGCTTGGTTTTGGATTTATTTCTCCAAATTCTCACCTCAACTGCACAAAAAACTCGATTTCAAAACATTCCTTAGTCCTCTATCAAGTACTCTCGTAGTTGACAACTGCACTAAGTGTGTAGGACTGAATGGTTTTGCCATCCAAAATGGCAGTATAGATAGGCGAAATGTTCGATGGTCTCAATTCCAGGCCCAAGAGGGCTACTAATAACGGTAATGAGGAATAATTTGTCGTGGAAATAATAAAAGAATATGTTAGAAACACACATTTTAGTAATACGGTTAGTAATATTTTGAGATGGTGGTTTAAATATAAGAATAAGTTTAATAGTGAAACAGCGCACTTTTTTGTGCGCAATAAATATACATTTTTTTTTTCAATGGGTGACACGTCTTTCATCCCAATTGTTTTCAGACCAGCGAGCTACAAATCTGCAGCTAGTCCAACCATACCTTTATGGCAATATGTGATGCATTTTTCCATATATCTATTTTTTTTTCAAAAGCTTGATGGAAAATTTGCAAAAAAAAATGTGATTCATAAAAACATTTTTCATTTTTTTTTTACTGCATAGGCCCACAGGAGTCGGCAATTTTATCAATAAAGTGAAAATTAATGATAAGAATTAACTCTTTTATGTTAAAAGCATTAAAAAAATTATTTACCTTAAACCTCTGTGAAGTGGAAGAATTGTCTACAGTTTATTCCCAATAGAGTTAGCAGAGAAAAAGAGGGTTATTTCGGTTTAAATACCCTATCGCGTGTTTTTTCATTGGTTGATAATTTTAGTCTAATTCCTGGAAGAAAAAACAGAAAGCCGATAGAGTTAACCTTGTTATTTTCAGAATATGACTGTTACATAATGGATAAATAAGATGAATATTTCTCAGTGGTGCAAAGAAAGGAAGAAGGAACGAAAGAAAAAGAACGGATAGATAATAAGTACCGCGGAATATTCCAGATGATTCTCAGAGAGAGAGAGAGAGAGAGAGAGAGAGAATTTGTAATTAAAAAACGCTTTTCACTCATTTACACACGTACGTAATGCATTTTTTATTAAATCATGTGGAAATTTTAATCGCTTGATATAAAGCACACTGTACAAAATGAACCAGCGAAAGAAACCTAATATATATGAATATGATACAATTTATACATTTTTTAGGAGGTTATTTATTTTGATAGAAGGGAAAATCCAGTCTACTTGTAGTAAATTTAGAAGTTAGTCATTTAATTTGTATTACATGTAATTAAAAAAGAAGTCAGACTGTGTTAATTATAGAACCTTGTAAATATCGGTCATTTGGTTCTTTAAATACGTGAGACTAATCTACAAACTAATACTTCAAATAGCATGATTTCTGTAATACTATAAAATATAGCAAAAGGTTATTTTCTGATATTTTTGCAGCCGGACTATGCCCGCTTGACCTGTTCACTTGTTTTAAATTCTTCATAAAAAGGGATAAAAAGGCTATTACTAATTGTGTCTCCTGCATTTTGACTACAAAATACGGATCCCCTCCCTCCTTCTCCAAACAAAACCATGGCCACCACGCAATGTATTGTTGATAACCTGATGTACTAACACACACCCTTTTCTCCAACCAATTCTATTTCCATCACCTTATGATGCTAATTAGTTATTTGAATCATAATCACGGCATTTTTTTCAAAACTCACACACCGACACAAATTCCTGAGAGCAATTCAACTGTATCATATCAAGCATGACCTTCCCTATCACCTGACCTTCACTAACACCTGATCTTCCCTATCACTTGACCCTCCCATCACCTGACCTTCCCTATAACCCGACCTTTCACCTTCCCTATCACTTGACCCTCCCATCACCTGACCTTTGACCTTCCCTATCACTTGACCTTCCCTATCAGCTGACCGTCCCTATAACCTGACCTTCTCTATGACCTGACCTTCCCTATCAGCTGACCTTTCCTATCACATGACCTTCCCTGAGATCTTGCACTTTTTGAATTTTTATATTTAAATTTCTAGTAAAGAATCTCAGATTTCGATTTTAAGGAAATTTAACTGTTTTTGGCTTTATTTGACGTTAATCTTTTAGGTAGACTTTTTGGTATATAAGTCAAAACGTGGATTCGGTTATTGATTTAGAAATAACAAGATGTGTTTGTGAAACACTGATGCCCCCGTATGGCAGCTTATGGCGAAGGTTAAAGTTTCTCAAATGCAAGTCAAAATCCAGGCCAAAAGATAAAAAATGTTAAATTTGAAAGCCCTAGCTGCAACTGTTCAAAAGTTATGGCGAAGGTTAAAGTTTTTTAAAAGTAAGTAAAACATCAAGGTCAAGGTCAAAGTTGTTGGTATCTAAAGGAAGGTCTTGTCACAAGGATTACATATGTAAAGTAGGAAAGCCCTAGCACCAACCATTCAAAAGTTATGGCCAAGGTTAAAGTTTTTCGAAAGTAAGTCAAACTCCTTTGTCAAGGTCAAGGGGTCAAAGTGGTTGGTATTCAAAGGAAGGTGATGTCACAAGGATTACATGTGTGAAGTATGAAAGCCCTACCACCAACCATTCAGAAGTAATGGCCAAGGTTAAAGTTTTTCAAAAGTAGGTCAAACTCCTAGGTCAAGGTCAAAGGGTCAAAGTGGTTGATATTCAAAGGAAGGTGATGTCACAAGGATTACATGTGTGAAGTATGAAAGCCCTAGCATCAACCATTCAAAAGTTATGGCCAAGGTTAAAGTTTTTCAAAAGTAGGTCAAACTCCTATGTCAAGGTCAAAGGGTCAAAGAGGTTGATATCCACAGGAAGGTCTTGTCACAAGGAATACACATGTGAAGTTTGAAACCCCAAGCACCAACTGTTCAAAAGTTATGGCCAAGGTTAAAGTTTTTCAAAAGTAGGTCAAACTCCAAGGTCAAGGTCAAAAGGTCAAAGTGGTTGATATTCAAAGGAAGGCCTTGTCACAAAGAATACACATGTGAAGTTTGAAACCCAAAGCACTAACTGTTCAGAAGTTATGGCCAAGGTTAAAGTCTCATAAAATGTTGCAGAAGTGGGTCAAACTCCAAGGTCAAGGTCAAAAGGTCAAATATGATGGTACCCAAAGAAAGGTCTTGTCACAAGGAATACACATGTGAAATATGAAAGTCATAGCTCCGACCAATCAAAAGTTATGGGCAAGGTTAAAGTTGACAACAGACAGACAGACAAACAGATAAACAGACAAACAGACAAACAGGACAAAAACAATATACCCCCGGGATCTTTCGATCCGGGGGCATAATAAGATACTTAAACAGATAGTATTGAGAGAGAGAGAGAGCATGTAAATGTACCTTGGTTTTGCTACTATTCGTTACCAACGATAATTTATACAACATTTACCATTTTCTTATCAGGTTTTCTCCATCTACGCCTAAGTGAGTTTTTGAGTTGTTGATGATTTATTGTTAAACAAACAGTCTACATGAAAATGGATCAACTTTTTAATAGCATTGCTACGCAGTTTCTTTTAAAATCATGCCCTCTGTTTTATTTTTGTTCTCTTTGCTCTGTTTTGAATTATTTTTTCTCCAATCAATTGCGTTATCTGAGACAGCGCCAATTCTCTTGGTTTATCCCAATTTTATATTTTAAAAAATGTTTATAGAAAACAGTAATGTATAAATAAGGGTACACGTAAGAAAACATACGTGAACTATAAATAGGAATAGATTTTCAAATGTGTTTAAAGTCAAGATACATAAGATTAAAAATCGTATGCGGCTTTGAAGAATGCAGTGCCCTAACTATACACATGCAGACAATTTTAAAGTAAATTCAGAACAAAGGCCAAATTGAAATTAGCCTTTACGTCAAACCGAAATATAATTTTTATGCGCCTGCTATTAAAATAAAAATAAAAAACGATTTAAAGGGAATCAAAACATATCTCCTTTATGTATCAGGGTCAATAACTAAAAATTGATAATGATATGTATTTTCTGAAAATTGATGCACGATAGCTCACTTTCATTTCTCTGAAAAAAAGATGAATACAATACAGTTGTTCAGCGTATTACACTTATACAAAGTTCTATACAAACCAAGCCTAAAAAAGTACACTTAAAGACTGGAAAAATGTCTACCCGTATTTCATATTCTTATAGTTTAAAATAATGTTTAATTAATATTTATAAAGTATTTGTAACATGGTTAGTATTTTGTGCAAATATTGGGAGGTGCCGTCAAAATTCTATCTTTATCATTTTTTTTTTTTTTTTTTTTTTTTTGAAAAGTGTTTTTTTAAAAAAGAGGGTGGCTATGAGATTAATGATAACAGGGGTATATGTGCCCGTTTACCTCCATGTTAGTCTTAGTTAAACTCTATTATAAAATAGAAAAGAAATAAAATTCAAGTCAACCATTTTGTAACATATAGTCATTTGCAGCTTCAGAGATAGAGGATCAACATTTACCTTGTTGAAGGCTTGAATATTCCTATTTGAGCTTGTAGAAAAATAAGTCGAGTGTGTTGTGAATGTCAGTATTAATAACTTACAGTAATACACATACACACACACACCCACCCACCCACACACACACATATATACATGTATATATATATATATATATATATATATATATATATATATATATATAGAGAGAGAGAGAGAGAGAGAGAGAGAGAGAGAGAGAGAGAGAGTTAAACTTAATGTCTTTTGACCAATAGAACCCTTAAACTTTAAAAATGTCACAATTCACTAATTTGTGCTGTAATAAGCTAGTTCATGACACAGAACATATTTGCGTTCTATGGTCACTGACCTACTTTCTGCTCTTACAGCTTGTGGACTTTAAAATTATCAAAAATTCACTTTCTGAGGTATGCGTATAGATATTGATCTGATGTTTATATGGGTTTTACAGCATTGTCTCACAGGTCTGGATATATACACTTACTTAAAGTTCATCAGTCATTTTTGCTTGTCAGATAATTTTGGGAAGTTGGCCCCCCCACCACTATTGGTCACTTTAGGTTTTTTTTGTTTGTCAGAGAAATTGCCCCCCCCCCTTTTGAAACCGTTGCTACGGGCCTGGAAAATCATCAGAATTCAGTTTTCCAGACGTTGCAGGTATTATACTTACGACTTGAATACAAATCAACTCTCATTTTGATTGCCCAGAACATTTCTGAATATTCAGTTTCTTTAATAGTTATTAATTGATATTGGCTGAATTATGATTTTCATACTAATATCATTCGATTGTAAGGTCTAGTAAGAAACCTTTGATCGAAAATGGTCATGAAGGTCAAGGGCCAAAGAATATGACCACTGCTGCCTGAAATATATGAAGATATCTGATATACAAAAGATAACTTAAACATTGGTAATCAAAGATTACAAAGTTCAACAAATGTTAACTTTAACTGCAAAAAGTCTCGTACCAAACAAATGTTCTGTTAGTGTGCTACTCTAGATTCAACATTTGTGCAAGTTTTTCTAACTTTTTCTAATCAAGCATCTGGAAAATGTAAATAAGATTCAGCATCTGAAGCAAGTCTGATGTGAGCATCCCTAGGTGAATTATCTATGCAAGTTTGGTCAGAATAAGAATTAGTACCGTGTAAGATTTACATTATAGTCACCTGTAAATAAACTTATTCATTCATCTAGAGAATGTAAATCATATCCAGAATCCAAAGCAAGCCTGGTATTTTCATTTTTACATGAATTATCCATTCAAGTTTGGTCCAGGTAGGGCTTATAGTTACTTGGGAATGGACCTGCTCTAAAAACTTGAACCTGTTCACTT